ATTTATTATATATAATATATATTATATATATTTATTATATATAATATGTAAATGTAATATTACAAAGTTGGTGTTGGCACTTCAGGAATGCTGGCCCCCTGCGTGCACAATGCCCCGCCCTCCGTACACCACCTTCTTAGGCTTGAGACTGTGTGGTTGTCATTTTCTAGCTCTGGCACCTGGGATACATCTTGATTTGTTTTTAAGCAAAATAGTCTTAGGCATTATCTCTTATGCATAAAACGTTTCACATTTTGAAAGTTTACAGCTCGGGGTGCCTAGGTGGCTCAGTGGGTTAAGCATCTACCTCCAGCTCAGGTCATGATCTCAGGGTTCTGGGATCGAGTCCCCACTTTGGGTTCTCTGCTCAGTGGGGTTCCTGCATCTCCCTCTCCCACTTCCCGTGCTTGTGGTTTCTCTCTCTGTCAAATAAATAAATAAAATCTTTAAAAAAAAAAAAAGGAAATTTACAGCTATTATTTCATAGAATTAGAAGGTATCTCATTTGTGCACGAGAAAATGAAGAACCAAAGAAGTCAGGTCACACTGCTAATTCATGCTGGTCTTGGACTGAAAGCCTGGTCTTGCCAAAATCTCTTTTCACTGATGGCACTGCCCTTGGGGCCACCTTTGTAGGTCCAGCGGACATGGTGACCACATGGTGCCCCATCACAGAATCTCCTTTACTGTTTGAGATGCTCCCCCTCTTTGGGTGGAATCAGGAGGTCCTTTTGGAGACGAATTTGTAATAATTTGTTCCCGAGAAATGGAGACCTTTGACATTCCCCTGGCAGAAAAGGAAATAGAGGAAGAGAGTAAAAAAGGAAGAGAGAAAAGAAACTAGTTATCAAGACTTGTTTTCCTTTTTTACCTATTATATGCCTGGTAAGTTCTTCCTGATGTCTAACCTAAAGAGGAAACCTATCATTCTGTGCAGTTTAGTGGTGAAGGAAAAAAAACCCAGCTAGGCATTCTGTGTGCTTGAACCCTGAGGGATTCCGAGCACTCACCAAGCTGGGGAAGCCCCTGAGCCTTCCTTCCTATCCCCTTGTGCTAGCTTCACTGGGCACTGGAGAAGTAATTTAACTTACAACTTAAGCAAAGCCTGTGGGAGGCCCCTGAGCTGGGCTTGAAGAGAAAGGGGATATATTTGCCTTCTAGAGGAAGAAAACTCATTTTCCCAATGCACCCCCACCCCCTCCTCCTGTGCAAATGAGCTTAATTTTCTTCGCCTCCTAATGAAGATGGATCAAAGCCAAGCTATATATTCAAGGGGGAGCCAGGCAGGGGAGCTGAGTGAGGGGGCGAGGCCGGCAGATACAGAGCTTCTCTCACGGAGAGGAAGTAATTAATTTTAAGAGAGAGCCGAGATGGGGAAGCTCTTGGTAATAGAGTGTCGAACTCCAAATGCAGGTGGCTAAAAATGAAGTCAGAGTATGGAGAGTTTCTTTTGTTTGTTCATTCATTCACTCCTTGATTCAACAAATACTTATTTGGCACCTACCGCGTGCAGGCAGAGGGCTCAGATCCCCAGAACCACAGCAGGGCTCAGGTAATTGGCCCGGGATGGGGAGAGGTGGGATCTGAAGCCTCTTGTCGCCATTTGCAAAAGTACCATGAAATAGTTGAATGTGTATACTGTTTGGATTTAAGATTCGTTGCTTAAGTATCAGGAGCTGATGACCCCAAGCTCCGTCCAACCAGCTTGTCGCATCACGGGTTCAGTAATAATGCTGTCCATTTGCTTATCTGTTCACTGATTGCACCGTTCTCTGACTGAGTTCTGACCTCAATCCAAAAAATTAGATTAGCCCTTCCCTTTCAGTGTCTGTTGTGGCATAACAACAGACACTGATGACACCAGACTGCTATGGTGCAGCTGTAAAGAACCACGTTGGTCAGAGAGGATTCTGTCATCCGGAGACAGAAATGGAATGATACAGAAAGCCGGAGGGACTGAAATTTGATATCAAAAGAACACATCTCAGCAGCAGAAGGTAACAGTGGGTCTGGAGCCTCCCTTGCTAGAACCCTTATGAGAGCCAGGACACTGAATGAGATTGATTGCAGAGTGAGCTGGTCTGGAGGCAGGGGGCTGGAAGAGATGACCTTCAGAAGACCCTTGTAGTCCAAGGGCCCCGAGACACGGAGGACATCAGGAAAAGGGGGGAATCTAACCGTCTTTGGCCACTGGAGAGTTCGGGGAACTTCACGGCAATGCGAACCTCCTTGCCCCTGAGCAGATCTGACAGTTGCCAGCTGGGATTTATCATATGGCATCTGGGAAGATTTTCAGAAGTAAACACATGGTGACCCCCTCCGAGCCCTGTGTGCCGCCCTCTTCCTCACAAGCTTCTGGAGGACGCTTCCCTTCAAGTTCACCCAAGCAGAGGAGCCAGGACCTTGCCACGAGCTCTGGCTGCACAACACCCACGCCCATGGGCTCCACGTGCCCCTCAGCCAGACCCCAGGCGGAGGGCCCGCCAGCTGGGGCTGGGTCTTAAGGGAGCGTGCTGGGGACACAGCCCAGAAGCCCCGTTCCCTGTGGCCCGGCTGCGCAGAAGTCTGGACAGGCTAGGAGGCGTGGGGAATGTTCATCTCAGCTTCCAGGCAGCGGTGACAAGGGCAGCACGAGTCTGGAGCCTCCCTGAACCCTTGTGCCCCCAGGATCGGAAGGGTCTCTGAGAAGCACGCGGATTGCAGCCCGGGGCACGGTGTTCTTGGCTGGGGGGTCGGGAGGCAGGGAAGACTGCCTTCCTGCAGGTTGGGCTGGCGCGAGCGTCTGCTGTGCAGATGGGAACACAGCCCCGGACCACTCCGCCCGCCCAGCTACTCTGTGTCCTTAGCTCGGCGGGGTCGGACTACCTAGAAGTTGCACACCTGCTCAGCGCACGCCTGTCTCTCCGGTTCAGCATTTTCTCCCTGGGGACCTGAGCCGGGAGGATATCATCCTTGATCCCTTATTCTGCCTCCAGCACTCAGACAACAGCCTTTGGGCTGGATGCTAGGAAGCCACAGCCACCACCTCACCCTGCCCTGGGCATCTGGGCACCCCCTGCCACCACCCGTCGAGAGCCCCTCCCCCTCCCCCAGCCCTGGAGCCTGCCGCGTGCCCTGAGCTTGGCCCTGGGGACCGGAGGACTTACTTCTCAGAGGGATGGTAAGAGCAGGGTGGCTGGCAGGTCCTCTGAGGCTGCCGAACAGGGATCAGAGCTGCCAAAAGGATGTTGAAGTTTCGGGCTGATCGACGGGTCAGGTAGGGAGCTCTTCTGTGGATGGTGAGCCGAGCTCGGTGAGCAGGTGCATTGGCAGCCCGTCGGGTCTGGGGGCTTCAGCGGGAAGGCCCTGCCAGACCTGACCTGGAGAAGGAAGAGGAGTTAGGTCAATGGCTGCTGCATTGCAGTGCTTGTGAAGGGGAAGCTATTTTGAAATTGGTAGCGGCGGGATGGAGAGAGGACGTCATTCGTAGGGGTTGCTGGGTAGGAGAGTCTGGGGCAGGGAGAAATTCACCGTACCTTGAGAGACCTGTGCCGGCTGACAGCAGGCTGTGTGTGCTTCTGTGTGTGTATGTGTGTGTGTCTGTCTGTCTATACCAGTGCCTGTGGGGAAGGTTCCAGCAGTTAGCACAGGGACCATGTAGAGCAGAAGGGGGCTGGGGGGGGCGGGTGGACGTGGGAGGTGGCGAGCAGGCGCGGTGTGCCACTGGGAAAAAGCAGAGATGTTGGCACCTTGAGGACCTTGTTTTCACAGACTGCTCACCCGCCCTCCCCCACCCGATGGGGGAGAGAGAGCCAAGGAGGGGGTGACTAGAAACAGCTACCCTTCCTTGCAAAGATCCCCTGCAGTTAAGTTGAGGAGAGTATCCCTGTTGGAGGGAGGAGGGAGTAAGTTGGAGAAGAAGGGGGAGCAGGTGAGAAACGTGTTGGAGTTCCAGCCCACGCCTGGCGGACACTGGACAGATTTAGGGTCCTGGCCGGCAAGCCCAAGCTGCCAAACCCGGATTCCCATATGGACTGTGGCCACTGTCCATGGGGCTTGTATCTGCCACAGACCTTTGTTGTTGTTGTTGTTTTTAAAGATTTTGTTTTTATTTATTTGACAGAGATCACAAATAGGCAGAGAGGCAGGCAGGGGAGGTGGGGAAGCAGGATCCCCCGCAGAGCAGAGAGCCCGATGCAGGGCTCAATCCCAGGACCCTGGGACCTTGACCTGAGCTTAAGGCAGAGGCTTTCACCCACTGAGCCACCTCAGCGCCCCTGCCACAGGCCTTTGGATCCGATCTGAACAGGGCTGGTTTGGAAACTGAAAAAACACACTTTGATGTTATCATTAGCTTCAACAGACAGCACTGGGGGTGGGATTCCTGGACTATTGGCGGGGGAGGGGTTGCCACAAAATGTTACTTCCCTCAAGGAGCTGAAGGGACAGAGCCAGGCTGTATTTCCTCCTGCCCCTGGCCAAGCAGCCCCGGGTCTTCATAGTAGGGGTGCTCCAGTGGCCTCGTGTTAGGGCCCCCAAGCTTGACATGGCCTCAGCATGCTCTGTCGAGGTGCCTGCTTCTTGAGGTGGACTGAACCTGTCCTGGGCTCTCACAGTATCTCTCAAGAGGGATGGGTGAAGAGGACCTTAAAATTCACCCAGCCCCCCCACTGGCTAGATGCTTACAATCTGGAACATTCTTGCCAAGTGGTCCCCTGCTTGCAGAATCCATCACAAATGGCTTCCATGTGTGGCTTAGCCCATGGCACCAGCCCCCCTCCAAGTTCTATCTACTATCCTTCCTCCCCTGTCTCCCCCCAGAGTTGCCAGGAAGCTAGGCTGACACTCGGCCAGCCGGAGAGCCACGCACAGCAAGCCTTCCCAAAGGAGCGTCCACGGCTCTGCTCCCCGTCCGCGTCTGCACAGACCCTGCTTCCTGGCAGGCTGTCCTCCCCACACCCTGCCCCAGAGCCAGGCCCCAGCAACCCTTAATTGGGTCTGACCATGGAGCTGGCACTCACCTCCATGCCTGCCAGCCCTGACGTCTCAGCAGCATCTCAGCCCCTGAGATACAGAAACCCTGGACCCCAAGTGTGAGTGGGTCCCTGCCCAAGCCCAGGAATGGAGCTTCCAGATCTCTGGCTTCACCTAAAGAAAGAGATGGTACATAAAACAGGAGCGGAAGGAGTCCAAGGCCACAAGAAAATTCTTTTTTTTTTTTTTAATTTTATTTATTTATTTGACAGAGAGAGAGAGACAGAGAGGGAACACAAGCAGGGGGAGTAGGAGAGGGAGAAGCAGGCTTCCTGCTGAGCAGAGAGCCCAATGCAGGGCTTGATCCTAGGACCCTGAGATCATGACCTGAGCCAAAGGCAGATGCTTAAGGACTGAGCCACCCAGACGCCCCTCACAGGAGAATTCTTTCAGCAAATAATGAGTGAGCAATTTTTATGTGGAGCACTGGCTGGAGCTGTTCTGGGAGAGAACCTGCTGCACAGGGACATCTCAGCTGACGGAGGTCCCTGCCCCCACCCGCGTACACACTCCCAGGGTCACCACTGAGGGGGTTACGTGGGGCTTATTCGGGGGGGTCTCTATCAGTAGTTAGCACTGACTAGTGAAAGGGGTCTCCCCACCCCCACCTCACTGCAGCTGCTTTTTCTACTGCCCAGCCCTCCATCCTGCCGTGCCCAGACCCCACAGAGGACAGAGGGGCCATCTCCTACATGGTCACCCCCTCCCTGTCACTGCCCAGGGCCGGCCCACCATTTAGTTAGTGTCTCTGGCTTCTCCATCTTTAACATGACTTCTGTCTGTTCTTTGCCTCCACAGCCACAATGAAAGACGGAACACATTTCTACACCCAGTGACTGGCCAGGTCCCAGAAGAAAACAAAAAATTTAACTTGAAAACGTATGTCTGCTCCTCTGCTGGCTGCTTGACCTTCCCATCCAGCTCGCCGCCCCACCCCCACACTTTGCAGCTGAGAAGGGGAAGGGAGGGGGTGGAGAGCAGAGGGACTTAGGGTCTCTAATCATGGTCTGGAGGAATGGAGCTTCTAGGGGCCTTCAGGCTTGAAGACCTCACCCCCTCTCCCAGCCTCTCCCAGATCTCAGGCTGGTGCCTCCCACAGGTGGTGCTGGAGGAGCGAGACAGGTCTGAGGTGGGCCTGTCACCCAGGGGCCTTTGAGGGAAGTGCTGCGGGAAGCTGATAGACTCTGAGAGCCAAATGCAAATTCCTCTCTCTGTGGATCTTGGCTCAGCCCGTGAAAGAAAAAAAAAAAAAGATAATTAAATGACTCCTATAGCCCGCTGCACCATTATGTCTTTTCAATTAGAAGGAAAAGGAGTTCCAGATTCCCAAGGTCTAGGTTTTTAAAACAAATTTATAGGAAAGAAAGAGGAAACTCTTCAAGATTACTGGCATGTGGCCTCAGAAGAGCAGAGGGAGCAGCTGAGGTGACCTCATGGGTGGCGTCATGGGGAATCCGGATGGAGCCTCTGCATTCTTCATGGGTTTTGATGAGTCTCTTTCTTCTCTTTCGGTCAATGTGAAATCAGATCGGCCTTGGACATGTCCAATAAAGCAGGTGGAAAACGCCCGGCTATCACCAACAGTGACGTATCCAAGCACAACATGGTGTCCGAGGTCCCCCCCGAGCGGCCCAGCGTCCGGGTAAGTCTAGCTCCCAAGGCCAGGTGTCAGGCAGGAGTCCTAGGAAACATTAGAGCCCGTGCAGCTGTCTCCACAGGCTCCCCAGAGCAGGCGAGGTGATGTGAGAGGAGTGGAGAGTGGGAAGGGAAGAGGGGTCCCACCAGCACCTTGAAGAAGACCCATCTCTAGACCGGAGCCTCTCAACCTTGGCACGGTCAGTATTTGGAGCCAAAGAGTTCCCTGTGGTGTGGGACTGTCCTCTCACTGTAGGATGTCGAGCAGTATCCTTGGCCCTGGCCCATCAGATGCCAGTAGCACCCGGCCTGTGACAACCAGTGTCTCCAGACATTGTTCAGTGTCCCCTGTGAGACACAACCACCCCCTCCCCTGTCCATGGAGAACCGCTGATGTAGGGGGACAGCAAAAGAGGAATAATTCATAAAGGATATGGCGCTCGAGAGCTCGTAGAGGAATGAGTACCTCAGGAGGAAGAGGTAATCCAGAGAAGAATGTGGCGAAGGGGTCCAGTAAGATAAGGGCTGAATATGTCCCTGAGGTTTAGCTCTGGAGACCTTGACCAGTGGTGGGATGGGGGCAGAAGGCAGCCGGAGGGGCTAAAGAGGTGATGGGAGGGGAGTCAGAGAGACAATGAGGAGCAGAGACTAGTCTTCTAAGAAACTAGACAGTAAGTGGGGGTTTGGTCATACAACGGAGCGTTCTCCAAAGGTTAAATCGTATGAGTGCTGTAGGTATGAACAAGGATAAATCTTGAATATGTACTGTTGAGTAAGAAGCAGGTTGCAGAATATGAAAGATGTGCTAGCATTTATGGGAAACGGCCTTCACGAGTGCACCAGCACATATGGACAGGTAAATTGGTGGTAGAGCATGTAACCATGGATAGGCAGACTCGTTCTGGGTCAGTGGTTGCCTCTAGGAAGGAAGAAAGGTAATGAGGTTGAGGAGTGGCTCAAAGGGAGTTTCAGCTCTATTTGTCATGTTTTATCAAGGGAAAAAAAAAAACCCAACACCTGGCGGTGATTCATTCCCTACTTTTCTGAAATATTTGAAATATTGAAAAATATATATTTATAAAGAAACTTGATGTTGGGGGAAATGAGGGATAGGGGATTGAATCTAGAAGACACGCAAGATGGCCAAAGGTCTTCTTGGTCATTTTGTTTTGTTTCAAGATGTGCGAGCAGGAGGGGAATGGCCCAGTAGTCAGGTTTAGGAGGAAGCGGACAGCTGTGCGTCTCATCTCCATGGAGACAGGAGAAGTCTGACGCAGAGGTGCTGTTAGCCCGCACAGGGAAGGAGCCCTCCTCCTGAGCTGCAGAAGAAAGGTCTGTGAAGCTAGGAAGTGTGGGTCTAGGAAGTTAAAGACATTCCCATCTGACACCTTCAGCTTCTACGGGGAAGTAGGAGGCAGGGTTTTCTGCAGAGGGGAGTGGGGTGCGTGGAGAGGTACTCGGACTTGAGAATATGCCCAGGGTTTGGAGAACAGGAACAGAGGTCAACATGGGGCATGTGAAAGGTTGCGTGATGGTGTTGAAGGGTCATCTGAGGTCGTAGACTTGACAGCGAGTGGCTCTAGTCCACAGATGTGTGTGGTTTTCCTCCCAGCCTGGCTGGAAAAGCAGGGAAGGCAGATGGTTGGATTAGCCTAAGGTGGAGGGTTGCTGGGAGGCTGTGGCTGAAAGATAAGGAGGCGAGGGCCTGGAGGGGTTGGCAGGAGAAAGGCAGAAGGGGCGAGTTGCAGGAGCCACTGTCAGGCTGCAGAGCCAAGGCGAAGCTGTGGCTGATAACGGACAGAGGACGAAGGGAAGGATTTGGGGAGTTGCTTATTTGGGGGATGGGTGACCTCCTCCGGTGCCTAATCTCAGCCTTTATATGTGGATTTTTACTAGTAAAGTTTAGAAAATCATCGTATTCCCCAGTTTGGGGTGGGCTTTATGACAAGGCCCAGTTTCTTCTTTCCTTCCTTCTGCAAGCATGTACTAAGTGCTTATTGTAGCGAGTTACTTTGCTGGGCTCTGGTGATGAGCAGACGAATAAGACTCAACTTTCTGGGACGCCGGGTAGCTCATGTGGTTGGGCGGCTGCCTTTGGCTCAGGCCAGGATCCCAGGGGTCCGGGATGGAGACCCGCCTGGAGCTCCTTGCACAGAGGGGAGCCTGCTTCTCCCACTGCCTGCCACTCCCCCAGCTGTGATCTTTTCTCTGTCTCTGACAAATAAATAAATAAATAAACAGATTAAAAAAAAAAAAAGACTCAACTTCTTCCCTACAAAGAACTCAGAGTATAAAGAAGGAGCTGGAAAGCCAACTGTTCCATTTGCAGTGTCCAGGAGTGGACAGAGTAGAGGGACAGCTCACTGTGCCAGGGGGTCCAGGAGGTTATGTGCAGTCAGGGGGCCTGCCTTGGGCTTAAAGGATGAGTTGGGATTTGTCAGAGGACAAGGGAGATGGGGCTTTCCATGTCCGCTATTGGAGAGCAAAGACGGGGGCACAGGAGAGGACCACCAGGAGTTTGGCCTGACGGTGAGGGATTCATCGGATAGAGGGGCAGAAGGCAGGTCATGGGCCCAGCAAATCTTACAGACCTGTCCTTGTGTGCCAGGCTAAGGAATGGAACTCCCTTCTAAGTGATGAGAGGGAGTTAAGAAATGCTAAGAGAGCATCGTGATGCCACTGTGTTTTATTTTATTTTATTTTATTTTTTTAAACATTTTATTTATTCATTTGAGAGAGAGAGAGAGCATGAGAGGGGAGAAGGTCAGAGGGAGAAGCAGACTCCCCATGGAGCTGGGAGCCCGATGTGGGACTCAATCCCGGGACTCTGCGATCATGACCTGAGCCGAAGGCAGTTGCTTAACCAACTGAGCCACCCAGGCGCCCGCCACTGTGTTTTAGAAAGGCAACCGTACTCCATGATAGATAGTACACAGCAAGAAGAGATGATGGCCTGAGAGGAAAGAACAGATCCAAGGACCATTAGGAACATAGACTCATCTGGCCTGCACAAATGTCGTACAAGGAATGGAAGGAGGGTTTGGGCAACTGAGGGGATTGGAGTAGCCAAGAAAGAAATACAGAATAGGCTTGGTGAGAAAAAAGATGAGTTTGGTTTTGCACGTATTTAAGTCCTGGTTGGACAGCCAGTTACAAAACGGGGTGAGGAGACAGTTCTTAGATAAGGAGTCGAGAACTTTCAGCATACTGTTGCTAGCCGAGGCAACGGGTACAGACGAGATACGTTGTCTATGTAGAAAAATGAGATTTGAAGTTTGGTTTGAGGTCCACCAATGGAGTAAAGTGGAGATTGAGAAGGAGGAGCCGCAGGTGGAGGAAAAAATCCTGCCACAGAAACCAAAAGGAGAGTTTCAGGAAAGACAGAAAGGTCAATGTCATCTGTGAGGAGCGAACATCCGGACTCTTCCCAGGAGCCTAGTCCTTTGAGGAAGAGAGAGAGAGGAGTGGAGGTGTTGTCTGAGGGCCTCAGGGCACCTTGGGTTGGGGTGCGGCGGGGGGCGGGGGAGGTGCGGGGAGAGCGTCAGGTGGGTGTGGCCATGTGAGAGGGAGGGAGAACTGCTGAGGGGGAGAGACAGACAGACAGAGACAGACTGATGCTTTAAGATGGAGAGAGCTGGGAATGTTCGCTCAGGAGAAGCAGCTAGCAGAGAAGGCAAGGTTGAAGACAGATTGGAGAAGCGATTATCCATGGAGCAAAGTCTCAGGAAATGGCGGGTGGAATGTGTTGGCCTTGAAAAGGAGGACACCACCTCTTCTTCTGACATTGGAGAGAAAGAGGCGACAGTGGTGAGGACAGTAATTTTCTGGGTGAAAGGGTGTGAAATTGAAGAAAAGCATGTCTGAGAGCCTGGCTCATCTCTGTGGAGCGGAGCGGGGTCCACGGCGGGGAGGGCGTGGGGGAGGGGGAGGGCAGGGAGTGGCATGAGGGGGCTGGGCCAGGCTGCGGTTGGGGACTGGGGGGCCGGAGGGCTCTGTGCTGTTCCTCCAGTTGCTCTGTAATCATAAACCATAATCTGGCTGTGAGTGCAGGAAGGGGATAATTTGACGGCTCTGGGATTCTGAGTTGTAGAGAAGTTGCAAGCAGTGACGATGGATGGGGTGTTTGAGAGTGCGGCTGACCTGCCCCAGCGTGGAGCCTGGGCTTCGTAGGGAAATAACTACAACCAGGACATCATGGCTGACAGGTCCAGAAGAAAACAGAAGGACTGGGGCGCCTGGGTGTCTCAGTGGGTTAAAGCCTCTGTCTTTGGCTCAGGTCGTGATCCCAGGATCCTGGGATCGGGCCCCGCGTCGGGCTCTCTGCTCAGTGGGGAGCCTGCTTCCACCTCTCTCTCTCTCTGCCTGCCTCTCAGCCTACTTGTGATCTCTGTCTGTCAAAAAAATAAAATCTTAAAAAAAAAAAAAAAAAGAAAACGGAAGGACTGAGGAGCTCAGGGACTGGCTGGTGGTGTTGAGTAATGGAGTGAGAAAGCCCGGAGGAGGGGATGGCGTCAGGAAATGGGAATCCCGGAATTGAAGATGTTAGTGGCGAAGGGTCATGGGCGTCAGGTCGAAGGTGCAGCCGTGGGAATAAGTGACAGGGTAGTGGTGAATGGTTTTGGAATTGAGGCTATCACGGTACTATGAGGTTAGGGCACTGGATCGGTCATCATCAAGGGCAAGGCCACAGGGATGGCCGGACTTAGAGGGAAGAGGATAATTGAGATCAGAATCCTATGACTCTGCAGGAATGTTCTAGAAGCTGACAGTGATGAGAAGGGCTGAACAGTGGAAGACCAGCTTCCAGACAGTTGAAGAAAGATAGCCCAGGAGTGGAATGAGAATTCTTATTTTCTCCTTAAAACAACAACAACAACAAAATCCATACCGCTGTGAGACAGGTCAGACGGTTCTTTTGAGCCCCGTTTTAGTGGTAAGAAAAAGAGTCAAAGAATTGGAAAGCTGTGCCCTTGCGTTGGTCCTCTTAGGGTGAGGACACCCGAGGCGTGGAGAGAGCCGCAGCTCCCGGCGAGGGTAGCTCCCGCTGCAGATAGAGCAGGGAGGAGGAGAGGAAGAAAGTCAGGCCGGTTTCTCTGTCTGCCTCCCCAGGCCACCAGAATGTCCCGCAAGGCCATCGCCTTTGGGAAGCGCTCACACTCCATGAAGCGCAATCTCTCTGCTCCCGTCACCAAGGCAGGCTGGCTCTTCAAACAGGTGAGGCCTCCTCCACCGTCCGCCCACCAGGAGCTCCACTTTCTCCTGGTCGCTCCGATTCCTCTGTAGTTGCAATAATGGTCCCTTGCACGTTTTGATATGCCCCACCGTGTCCTATTTTTGATATTTGATATATCTCTGAGAATGAATCTCCTAATTCTATAAAGACTCAGAGAAGTTGAGTATCTTCCCAAAACCACACAGAAAAATTAGTGTCACATTTGGGAACCCAGCCAACTCTCCTAAGGGGCAGACGGAATGACAGAGATATGCTGGGTCGCCAACCCTGCCAAAACAACCCACTGGCTCATTCTCAGGAGGTCCCTCTTGCTGTGAAGGAAGAGGGGTGTTCTTGGTCCCGGGGTCCACTAATTCTTCCCAGTTTGACCTCCCCACCGTCCCTGCCGACCCTCTGCCCTCTCATTCTGGCTCACCTCTCACCCCTTCTTTCTTCCCCGGGAGAGACGCTGAGGCCTGAGATGACAGAACTGGAAGGTTACAGACAATGATCTAATGTCACTTTCCCGCGTCTGAGGTCTCAAGGGGTTTGGCTGCACTTGTTAGCGGCAGAGCTGCGGCCAGAGGCAGGATGGCCTTGTAATTGGTGCCAAGCTCCTCCCCCTGCAGCCCCCCTCCATGCCCAGCTCACAGTCCCTCCCCTCCCACAGGCCAGCTCCGGGGTTAAGCAGTGGAACAAGCGCTGGTTTGTCCTGGTGGACCGCTGCCTCTTCTACTATAAAGGTGAGCTTGCCTCTTTTCCTGGGGCTGGCCGGGGCTGCAGGAAGGCAGGGCCCACCACTCTTCCTCGTTCTGCCGGATCCCCGGGCTCTGCTTCAGGTGGACGTTGGTCGGTCACGTGGGTGGGGGTGGGGACCGGGGTGCAAACCTGCCCCATAGCCTCCAGCACCCATGGGGCGTGACCGTGGGATAAAGACAGAGCCTGCTTGCTCACGTGGTCACTCACTCACTTGACATTCAGCGGTATTTACCGGGCACCCTCCAGGTTTCAGGCAGAGTTCCAGGTGCTGCTGGGGGACACAGTGGGCACACAGCACAGTCATGCGATTGAGGGTGAAGGGTGGGGGATGGGCTAGGAAAAGGAGGAAGCAGAGGAAGGCCCCTAGTCACTACTAGCAGGTGACCTACCAATTGGAGCTTGTGTGCTGATCTTCCTCCCGTCCCCCTGGAGCGTGTGAGCCGATCTATGAAGGCAGAAATTTCGGTTTTGTTCACTGCGATGGTGAACAAAATTTAGGTTCACAGTGCCTAAAACAGCACATGGCACATAGTAGGTGCTCAATCAATTTTGAGTAAATGAATACACCCCAGTGTCCACCTGCTGTGTGCACGCCAGCACTCACTCCCAAGCCTCTCAAAAAAGAGAGAGACCTAATAACTTTGGTGAGGCAGCCTCTAGGAAGTTATTTTTAAAATCGTTGTACAGCAGTGTTGTGTCAAGGAGATCCCGAGAGAACTAGAGAGGGACGAGGACAGGGACGGCCCTGTCACACTGGTGTGGGGCCACAGGAAGAGAAGGGTACAGGGTTTTGTAGTGGGAGAGTCTGTTCCCTTTCCCCCATGCCCTGGGCATGGCAGAGCCCTGACTTCTTTGAGCCTCCTAGGGGCAAGGCAGTAAATCATTAACTTTCACAAAGGTTGAACCCAGTGACCCCTCCAGAATGCTGCTGTCCCTGAGCCCTGAGTCGCTACCACCTGAACCCCAAAAAGAGAAATCAGGAAGGGGCTTCAGAGACAGGGTCCAGGCACAGAAAAATTGCCGAGACTGGGGGAGAAGAATCTGCCAGGGCCTGGCCCCTGGTGCTGGGCCTCTGGGACCCAGGGCTGGTTGGAGCCAGAGTCTGAACGAAGCTGATGGAAAGCCAGGATCTCTGCAGGGGAGAGACTCTGGGACTGGTGTGAGGGGAGAGACTAAAAAGTTGTGAACTCAGAGGGCACCATGATGGGGGCCACCATCCACTGAGAGATGCTCTCAAGAGACCCTCTAAGCATTGGCTGGGATACTACCTGGCAGAAGGCCACCGCTTCAAGAGGACGGCAGCCTCCACTTTCCTGAAGAAGCCCTGGGTCCCCGGCCCCAGGCTCCTCCTGATCCTTGGGCTTTGGCCTTCCTCTGGGTGCCATGCTGACTCTGCAGAGGAAGCTGGACCTCAAGCCAAGTCTCTCGTGTGATGAGGGAGGGGAGAAGGGGTGCTCATGACTTTATAGTCCCTGAGACTCCTTCTGACACCTAAAGGAGAGTTTTCCAGCGTTTCCACCCTTGGGAGCAAAGAGCTATCCCAGGGAAGTAGGGAGTTGCCCCCCCATCCCACAGAGCACCCCCACCCATTTGTGGTTCCGGCCGACATCTGGGGTCCTGACTAGCTCATCCATCGGGCTCCTTTGGAGATCCAGGATGAATTACAGAGAAGCCTGTTTGTTAGCCTATTTGGGGACCAGAGGGCTGAGGGGCTCTGCAGGGGGGTATCTGCTTGTGGAGACACGGGGGCTGTGAAGGGGAAGGCAGACCCCTGTCAGGAGAGGACAGAACAAGCTGCTGGGTGCCTGGGAGAACCTTAGAAACAGTTACCCAGAGGAGCCAGAGCTGAAGATGGGACTGTCTGCTCTGCCATGCCCGATCCCATTATCATCCCATTACATGTGCCCCTCCTGGAATTGTCTTGCTTGATAAGGCTCTATAGATGAGACAGTGGCTGGGAAGGCTTACTGGGGAGGGGCACCTGGCTGGCTCAGTCAGTAGAGCAGGAGCTTGATCTTGGGGTTGTGAGTTTGAGCCCCTGGTCGGGGTGGAGTTTAAAAAAAAAAAAAAAAAAAAAGAGTGTTTGCTTGGGAGTCAGACTTCTTGGGTCCAAAGACCAACCCAGCACTCTACTTCAGTAATGTTGGACAAATAAATTACTTAACCTCTCTGTGCCTCCATCTCCTTTCCTGTAAAATGGGAGTAATCGCAGTAATCGTGGGTAGGGTTAAACCCATTAAGACATCTAACTTAGAACAGTACCCGAAGGACGGCAAACCCTCCATCACAGCAGTTGCTGCTTTTTTGCTTACCTGCGTCCCAGAAGGGAAGCTCCCTGAGGGCAGGTGGCTCTTCTCTCCCAGCCACTGCCATAGTCCCAGCCTCTGGGACGGTGTCTGCAAGCCAGGCTCCCCATCTGCAGGGACTGTGCCTCTCCGTGTTGTGCAGAGTACAGCCTGTGTGCTGGTGGCTGGCGGCCCGGAATGCCTGACGAGCCACACGTGCCTATTGTGATTAGGGTTAGGGTTAGGGTTATTGTCATAGGGACAATAGACGCCTGCCCTCTCCCTGCGCACGCGTACTCAGCAGGCACAGGCGTCTCACCTGGGCCTCTGTGTACCCGACAGATGAGAAGGAGGAGAGCATCCTGGGTAGCATCCCCCTCCTGAGCTTCCGGGTGGCCGCCGTGCAGCCGTCGGACAACATCAGCCGAAAACACACATTTAAGGTCAGTTGGCTTTCCTCTCCCAGGCCAGGTGCGGTAGGGAGGCCTGCTCTTCGAGGGCATGAATGAATGGAGAAGAATCCTGAGCCCCCTCCCCAAGGAGTCCCCAGTGGTAGTAGAAGGAGTGAGAAGGCAGTGGCCCCTGGAGTCAGTCCCAGCTCTATCAAGACCACCTCCTCTTATCTCGGGAGTCAGCTGGGTGGTTCCCCTCAGGCTGTGCTGAGAGAGATGGTTTCCAGTGGTGCCGCAGTTTTTCCTGGGGGAGAAGTACTTGAGTCCTGAACCCATGAACCCTCTGCACGATGGCCCAGCAGCAGGGACAGGGGCTGTGGGCCGGTGGTCTTCTGACCTCCCTTCTAGACAGCAGTCCTCCCTACACTGGGCCCAGGGAACTAGACCCCCAGTCAAACCTGCTCAAATTTCAATCTCTAGAGAAAATTAGGAGTTGAGTTTGATGACAGTCGAGAAAGGCAAACCTCACGCAGACCGTAGTTTGGGAGAACAGGAGCCCGAGAAGATGGGCCTCACCCACCCGCTCTGTGTCACTCCCTGGGAACCCTCCCAGGGGACCCACCCACCAGAGATGGGCTGGCAATTGGCTCGTCGCAAGCTGGTGTTTTTCCACATTTAAAAATTCATGACCCACTAAAAACAATAAAAATCCTGTGCCCTTTTTGTAGTTTATGATGCAAAGACCAGAGTCTCCTTTTCATTTCCAAATATAAAATTAGGATACCAGCTATGCATTTTCTTAGCAGAAAGCCCTCCCTCCCCTAGCTGAGAAGGGCTGTCCAAGTCCCTGAGAAGCTAGAGCTATGGTGTGGGATGATGATAGGAACTGCAGGTAACGCCTGGTCAGTATCTGAGCCTGTAGGACCTCAGAGACTCTGCCCCTTTCTGTCCTTCCGACTCCAGTCACCTGATCGTGGAAAAGAGGAGGGCAGCGTGCACAGGGGCTGCTCTAGGGAACAAGGAGGGCCTTCTTTGGCATGTCATTAGTCCCGAGCTTCCTGGGCTCCTGTCTGCCAGAGGTGTGAACACAATGAACAATTAATAAAACTCTAGCTCCAGGGAGCGGGGTTCCTGCTGGGGAAGTAGAAACAGGTTGTTTAACCAACAACAGACAACCCTACTTTACACATTCACACACACACCCCCACACAGCCCAACAGCCGGTCTCACCGTCCCCTCTAGACCTGTGCACAGACACAGCCACACTGCAGCTCGGAGCTGTGCCAGCACCAGGCGTCCCGAGTGACTGACACGCACACACGCGCACACACACGTCTGCCATCAGCCCCAGCTCTCTGCACACAGCCGCCCTTCTCCTCCTTCCCCTTCCCCCAAGGAGTTCACTGCCTCTTTAAAACCCAACTCTGAGGGCCAAGTTCAGTGGCCCACAAAGGGTTCCAATTGTGGCTATTCAATGGCCCTTCCCCAGGGAAGGGTGGGGAGTGGAGACAGATGGGAGGCTTGTCCTGTTGTGGCCACCAAGTGAAAGTCTTGGATGGCGAATAATGAGCTGGGCACTAGCCCTGCCCAGCCTGCTGTGGAAAGACTTAACCTCTTCCTAACCCAGCCCCGAGGGGGCTCGGTGGACTTCACCGCACTGGGGTACCTTCCTCGCTTTCATGATGCCAGGCCACTGTCCCCTCCGGCTGCCCGTTCACTGCCCTGTCTTTTCCCAGGCCCCCCGCCTTCCCCTGTTGCAAGCATTTGCTCCTGTGCCTTTGCTCTCTCCTTGTTTCCCTGTGGGCATGCTTTGTCCTCTAGCTTGACCGTGAGCTCTTCAAGTGCAGAGAGCATGTCTGTTTTCCTGTGATTGGTGCCCAGAGCAGAGCTCTGCACGCACAAGACACTCACTAGCAAATTAATTCACTTGCTGCCCACTCCTACCAGCTCCAGGTCACGCCCACCAGGCCCACCTCTGTCTCTCTCTTCTTTACAACAACCCAGTGTCCTCCACACCAGAGCTCGCCAGGGCCCGTCTCCTCTGTATCCTTGTGCAGTTTCAATCCCCAGATGCCTCCTTACAGCTTCGCTGGCTGGAAGCATCTCCCTTCCTCTGCGCACAAGCCGGGCCCCCTGCTGGAGAGTGGGATCGGGCAGGATCCAGAGGAAGTAGGACATTATTGGGTAACAGCTCCCGTCGGATAGGAATCATGTGTCGGGGACGGGTGGTACAGAGGAGTGAGGGTCCAGCCAGGAAAGCATTTGGAGGCTGGGGATTTGACACTGCTGCTTAGGAGAGCCCTGGGGCTTGACCAGGAGAGCCCTATCTTCTCTCCTTCCCACCCTGAGAGACCCATGATTTCACACCCACGGAGTCAGAGACCAAAGGGAGGGTCACATCTGAGACTGTTAATCACTTGGATTTCTCATGTCGAGTGGGGTAAACCAGGCTACCCGCTTTTTCTGGGAGATGGAAGGTCTCAGCGGGAGGGTGCGCCGAGGTCCCAGAAAGCATTTCTGGAGCATTTTCCCTTGTGGCCTGAGAACTTCGAGCTTTACCAGGAAGATCCTTCCCCATAGACAGATGCATCACTTCAGGCCAGAACAAAAACCCAAGTCAAACGCAGCTGCAGAGCTGGTTGGGGACAGAGCTAGGATCAGCACTAGGGACGCCTGGAATCTTCTCGGCCAGCAACCCCAGTGGCCTTGGGGCAAGCTCTCCATTCCCCACCCTTGTCCCATCCGGGTGGCAGCGTGAAAACGAGTAGAAGGGGGTAATCTGACTCGTTCCCCACTTCCCTCTGCTCCTCAATATTCCTGCCACATCATCTTCTGTCTCCCCCTCTGGTGTCTGGTTGACCTGTTCTCTGCTTCTCCTCCTTCTGACTGCGTGAGGACCCCTCCTCTGGACAGGAGCTCTCTTCTGGGTTCCCGCCTGCCGCACCTGCCCGCGGCCACCGACTAGGTAGCGTGCTCCAACTGTCAGTGCATGCCCCTTGCACGCCCAGGGAGACGGAGACCTGGCTGTCTCTCTGCCCAGGAGAGACAGTACTATCTCCTCAGACGCGAAGCCAGAGCCAAGACTGGCTTATGCTCGGGGGCAGGGTGGGGGTCATCTGTCCCAGACATCGGGTAATAATTGCCCTTCAAATCAAAGATGGAATTTGATGGGAGAGTGGGCGTGGTAATTGTCCTTCCTGTTTATAATAATCTCCGGTGGGGCTGGTGAGCTTACCTGGCTATTGGATGGCTGGGTCCAGAGAGCTCATCTGTATGCTAGCTGGAGCCCTTGGCCCAGCTGGGTGCTGTCCTCCTCACCCTGTTCCTCTGGGAGGGGTGGGCAGGGGAAGAGCTACAGGTCAAGGGAATGGTGCCTGACCACCTGTCCTGTGGATGTGGCTGTCTTCTCCCTACAGGTGACTACGTGCTGGGTGGATGAGGCCGGAGCTGGTCCCACGCACTGCCTCTCCCCACAGGCTGAGCACGCCGGGGTCCGCACCTACTTCTTCAGCGCCGAGAGCTCCGAGGAGCAGGAAGCCTGGATCCAGGCCATGGGGGAGGCTGCCCGGGTGCAGATCCCCCCAGCCCAGAAGTCGGTGCCCCAAGCTGTGCGTCACAGGTGAGTTCCAGGGCCCTGGGCCTGGGTGTGGGTAGTGCCAGAGAAAGAGGAGTGAGGAAGCACCCCAGTGTCTAACCTCCTGAGCCCAGCGTGCTGGCTTGAACCTCTGAGGACATGTGAACCCCTCCTTGCTCCCAGCGGTGGGGGGCCTGGCTTCGGGATTTCCGGGCCTGGAGTCTCTCTTCCCCTTACTGGCTCTTCCTATTCTCTCTGGGCTGGTGGAGGCCAAGAGAGAAGTCAGGTTCCCTCGGGGCCTGGCCAGGAGCCAAAGACCAGGGTCCTTCGCTCGTTCAGTCTTGGCTGTGTGCATTAAGCCCATGACTTCTGGAGGAGGGTGGACTTGGGTTCGAATCCCCACTTAGCCCCTTGCCCACACCGTGACCTCAGTGTGAGTTACTCAGACTCTCTCAACCTGGATTTCCTCTGCTCGAAGACAGCAGTTAGAATCATCCTTCACGGCGTGGCTGCAAAACCAGGCCGTGCCGCAGACAGTCAGCCCACAGTGGCCCCATCGCCGTCCCCACCTGCCGCCCCGCTGCAGCCTCGGGGCCTATCTTCACTGAGCCTGTGGAGTCTTGAGGTAGATGTTAACAGGGATCCAGAAGAAGGAGGTTTTACAGTATAGACAGATTCCAAGTCTATTTTGGGGTCTGAGAAATGTTTACCAGGCAGTGTCGCAACAAGGATGCTTGAATATGTTGGATTTGGGAAGGCGCAGGGAACGCGTTGTCATGAGACTCCATCTTCACGTCAGCGGGGGGGCGCACTTCCAGGAGTTCGCTCGTTCGGTCCATAAATATTTACTGTAAGTAGGTATGTGTCAGGCACTGAATTGGGTGCTAGGAAAACAAGGGAGGACGAGTCTACACGCTCCTGCCTCATGGAGCTCCTGCCTCATGGAGCTCACGTTCTGACAGAGTCAGTCCTGGAGGAAGCTTGTTCTGGAGCCGGGAGCCAGCATGCTTCTGTACCGAGGATGTTTGAGGCGACAGCTTTGGCGCCTGGCACGTTTGATCTCACAGTCCTGCGGGGGAGGGACTGGTCCACAACTGCCAGCAAGGAGCCCGAGGCTCGCCAAAGTTAAGGAACTTGTGTAGGACACAGGGCTGACCGGTAACAAGCTCCGTAACAAGCCAACGTCAAGGACAGTCACCGTGACGAAGCTTTGGTAGGGTGTGTATGGAGCTTGGGGGCTGGCGCCGAGATAGACGGCCGAGAAGACCGCGTCTGGGGGAGGTCAGGGTTGGCCGCAGCTTCCGAAGGCTGGATTCAGTGCAGGTCAGTGGGAGGGAGAGGAGAGTGACTCGTGGAGGTGATCTGGAGGGTAAAATGAGCAAACCGTGCACAGGCAAGCTTGGACTATGTTTTATAGTGATTGCCCAGGCTGGAGCGAGGCGGCCAACTGGGGGGCATTTAGGAAACAAAATGGTCATTCTCTGAATCTCTCTTCCATCGCTACCTTCCTGCCCTCCCTTCTCCACTCCTTTTTCCTTCCCAGTCGACCACCCCTTGCCCAGCTCCGCACTGGCCTGGGGTCATTTACAACATCTCCCTTGGTGTCCTGCAGCCACGAGAAGCCAGACTCCGAGAACATCCCACCTAGCAAACACCACCAGCAGCCATCCCACAACAGCCTCCCCAAGCCAGAGCCCGAGGCCAAGACTCGAGGGGAGGGTGATGGCCGGGGCTGTGAGAAGGCCGAGAGGAAGCCTGAGAGGCCCGAAGTCAAGAGCGAGCCTCTGGTGAAAGCCAATGGCGTCCAAGCCAGACCAGAACCAGCCTCGGAGCCTGGCAGCCCTTACCCCGAGGGCCCGAGGGTCCCAGGGGGAGGAGACCGGCCTGCCCAGCCCAACGGCTGGCAGTATAGCTCCCCGAGCCGGCCCGGGAGCACAGCTTTCCCGCCGCAGGACTCAGAGAGCGGGGGACAGCAGCGGAGCTTCCCCCCACGGACAGACCCCGACAAAATCGCCCAGCGCAAGAGCTCCATGAACCAGCTTCAGCAGTGGGTGAACCTGCGCCGAGGGGTGCCCCCGCCTGACGACCTTCGGAGGTGAGTCCTGGTGGGGTGCCGGCGCAACCGGGGCGATGTTAGGGCTAGGGGTTGGGGCTGGGGGGGAGCTGGGGAGGGGTGACATGCACAGCATTCCCTGCCAGAAATCTTTTGGAAGCCGGGCTGAGTTGGGACATCAAGTAGGCCCTCCTGCCTAGGATTCCTAGCGCATCCAAATCCTCTATGGCCCCGAGGCTCTAGGAGTGGACTGGGACCCCTGCCCAGCTCCCGCCCTGTCTGCTTTCTTCAGAGACAGGGCCAGAGCACCCGGGGCCTCTGCGAGGAGGCAGGGTGCCCAGAGGGCGGGCAGGCACCTGGAGGGAGGGGACTTCAAGCTGTGCAATCCGAGAGCCATCCGTGCATCCTGCCCTCTTATGACACCCTTGGTGCCACCGAGTATCTCTGCCACCATGAGCCTCAGTGACCGTCAAGCCAACTCAGCCCTGTTTTGAACAGTTCTAATTATTTGAAAGTCTTTATATGTGTTGCCCCTCACCGATCCTAGTTCTGCCCTCTGGACCAATTTGCTCCTTTGTCCGGTGATTGGCTTTCAAATATTGGAAGACATTTTCGGGCCCAGTAGCATAAGTCTGGGCAAGCGGGGCTGCTGCTCCTTCCCCGCGGGGGTGGGCATCTACCCGCACGCAGGTGACAGCCGGTCACAGGAAGGCTGCTCCCCACTGCTGCTCCGCTGCCTGGGACACCCGGCCGGCCCCAGGGAGAGCGCCTCACTTGGGATGAGCCTCAGGAACCTCCTGGTCCCTTCCTTAATGAGAACATCAAACTGGGAAGCTGCCCTTTTGTCCTTCCTCTGTCGCCCTCCCCAGTGCCCAGTACACTCCCCTTCTTTCTGCTCTTTCTGCTGTTTACGGCTCTGGAAAAGATCTGATACATGGTTCATGCTGGGAGAGAGACAGCTAATAAGGCTTAAAGTTTCTCCCCAGGGCTATTTCGTTTTAAAAAGACAAAGATGGAAACTCTGAATGTGAAATTCCCAGCCTCTGGTAGCTGGTTGAGGGAGGAAGGCTTGAGGGAGCTTTCCCTGCACCCCCGGAAGCCAGGCTCAGCGCCCAGGGAGTGGCTGCCTCTGTGGCTCCCAGGGTCAGGCATGGGGGTGGGCACCATTCACCTGCTCACACCCTGCTCTGGGCTGGAGGACCTGGAGGTGGGCCTGGGGCACAGCAGGGTGGGTGGGCTGCATTCGTTCTGTCTGGCTTCCTCACAATGTCCTCTCTCTCTCCCAGTCCCTCTAGGTTCTACCCCGTGTCCCGCAGGGTCCCTGAGTATTACAGCCCCTACTCCACCCAGTACCCTGACGATTACCAGTACTACCCACCAGGGGTGCGGCCGGACAGCATCTGTTCCATGCCGGCCTATGATCGGATCAGCCCACCCTGGGCTCCGGAGGACAAGCGCCACTCCTTCCGCAATGGAGGTGGCCCTGCCTTCCAGCTGCGGGAGTGGAAGGAGCCCCCGGGCTACGGGCGGCAGGATGGCACCGTCTGGCTCCCCGGCCCCTCCCCGTCCCGGCAGCCCATCTATTACGACGAGCTGGATGCCGCCTCCAGCTCCCTGCGCCGCCTGTCCTTGCAGCCCCGCTCCCACTCTGTGCCCCGCTCGCCCAGCCAGGGCTCCTACAGCCGTGCCCGCATTTACTCCCCCGTCCGCTCACCCAGTGCCCGCTTTGACCGCCTGCCACCTCGCAGCGAGGACATCTATGCCGACCCTGCTGCCTATGTGATGAGGCGATCCATCAGCTCGCCCAAGGTGAGCCACCAGCCTGCCCTCCCTTCCTCATCCCCTCAGATCCCCCAGAAGCCTCCTACTGTCTGCAGAGGAGAGGCGGAGGTGTGGGGGCATCTGGGACTCGGGGTCACTGTGTCCCATGGGGACACACGCCATTGACAGGAGCCACGATGATGCCCAGGGGAGCCACTGGCCCTGCGGGTCTGTCCATGGGAGAGCTGCTTCGGGGGATTTGCTTTGACCCCTGAGTAGGAGCATTGCTATTGGTGCCCGTCCCCAGGTCACTCCTGGAACCCTGATCCTGTGTTAGAGGGCAGACAGGGTTCTGTCTTTGCAAATCTCGAGGACCAGACAGGTCAACGCAAGGATGTTGCAGTGGATAAATGCTGTCCATTTTAATTTGGCATCTGCTCTGGGACAGGATACAAACATCCTTGACCTTGAACTTCAGTTGTTGGGGAAGTCTGTGTCCCAGCCAGACCCCTCACCTCTCCAATTCCCTTTCTCTTCCAGTATGATTACCTGGGAGACAGGCGGCCAGTCCCTGCAGGACTGTTCCCCTACAACTACCCTCCATCCCCCACGGTCCACGATAAGATGGTACGTCCTCTCCTCCCGTCCACTCCCCGCAGAACCTCTCCTCCCAGGGCGGGGCCAAACTGGGACAGCCACAGGGATCCTCTGTGCCTGGTGCCTGGCCCTCCTGATTTCTAGCAGCCTCTGGATAGCTCTTCCCTCCCAGCCAGGACTCTGGCCCCAATCCAGCGTTTGAGGCCAAGTTACCCCATCTCTGGGACACCAGGTAGAGGAGCAGGGGCAGGATCTGGAGGCATGTGATGTCCTGATCCTCTCAACCCTGCAACAGCCTCCTGCCCAGCACGTGGAGGGGCCTGGTCAGGGGGGCTTGGGTTATGGCCTAGGAAGAAAAGTCAGACCTGAGTGTCCAATAACAGGCATTTTCTCTAAGTCTGCCCTTGCCTGGAGTGCTACTTATGGGGAAAAAGACAAGTGGTGGGATTAAGGAAGAAAAAATTTTCCATATTAGGTCTTTTCCTCCTTTTTTCCTTGCTTTCTACTTGTCTTTCCTGGGAATTTGTTCTCCAGAGAGTTTCTGACTCCCTCTGGAGAGCTGGATACAGACGCCGCACCTGGGATGTGGGGTGCAGTAGGGGGGCACTGGAACCAACAGGCCGAGTCCTTGTCCCCAAAGGCCTGTTGCTACGGCCTATCCCTGCAGAGCCCCGGGAGGCCATGGTGGAGGAGCCCCTGCAGGCATGGACACCGCCCCTCCCTTCCTTCCCCTTGATCCTTCTCTGCCCAAACTCTAGCCCTGACACACAGCTCAGTACCCATCCAGAGACAATGGATTCTTCTGGAAAACTCAGGAGCTGCTAGGGAGGGCTGACTAGATGGTTTCGGTGGTGCTGCCCTCTCCCACGGGAGGGCCAGGTGGACCAGGAGCCCACAGGTGGGGCCCCAGGGAGTCCCTCCTCTAGCTGGGCATCCAGTAGACAACCTGGTGCCTGCCCCAGCCTCATCCCTTCCCTTCCCCAGAACTCCTCAAGGGCAGACAGAGGCCTCTCTTAGACCTTGCCCCCCAGCTAACTCTTAACTGCTTTGCTTCCTCTTTATTGTTTTCTGTTGTCTTGTTCCTGTTTGTTTGTGTTGCTGTTGGGCCTCGGGCTCCGGGTAGGATGAACTTTTAGACCTTCAGTTGCAAAGAAACCTAGAGTATTTGGATCAGCAGGTAGGCAGAGCTGGTGCCCCCTCGCCATTCCCCTGCCCTCCCGTCTGTCTCCCTGCTCCCCCCCACCTCCTCCTAGTCCATCCATTTGACAACCTTTGTTGGCAACACCAGGAGACAACAAAGTGGCTTATATTTTGGTTTTGCGCCTTCACACCCCTTCTCAAAGCCCTTTAGGGCCGCTGAGAGTTTCCTGGGGAAAGGAGAGTAAGACATGACCGCATGAATAATTAATGCCACCTCCTATTTGTTCAGGCCAGATGGAACTGGCAGGGGTGGGGGTGGGGTTGTGGGGAGGCGGGAATTTGCATTTCTGCTGGCAAGGGTGGCGGAGATGGGGGTGGGGTGGGGGAGGTGAGCGGTCAGGCTCCGCCTAAAATGCAAGGGGTTCCGTTCCCCCTAAATCTGGGAAATTATCCATCCTAGTTCACAGGTTGTTGTTAAAACTCCACAGTTTATAAACGGAGAACTACAGACTTGCCCTAGGATGGTTTTTTAAATTCATATTAGCCCATATATTTGTTAGCTCCTCTGCCAAGTTCTTTTGCATACGAGGCTTGTGTTCTCCTGGAGAATTCCGCGTGGTAGACAGAGGGAATGTAGGCAACCTCGTCTCATCTGGAAGGGTCTGCGAGTGTTCCCATAGATGGGAGTGATTGGCGGCGGAGACCCCCCTCCAGGCTCTAACCATTGGCTGCCTTGCCTTTGGAGGCTGAGGGGCTCTGACGCTCCCTGCGTTGAGACACGCTGGGGGGTCAGGATGCTGGGTATTGCTACAAATCACAGGGGACCTGGGCATCCCCAGCGTGGCCCGGTGGAAGCGGCTGGAGGTGGTAAAAATGACAGTAGAGTTGTGGCTATAGTAGTAGCCGTCACCATCACTGGGTGCTTTCTCTGCGCCCCATGCTGTTCTGGGTTCCTTAGCCACCCTGAAGTACTTAATCTGTATAACAGCACTGCAAGGTGGGTACTGTTGTTATCCCCCTTCTAGAACCAGTAACACGAAAGAAACAGAGAGGTTAAGTAACATGACAAGGACACACAGCTAGTGAATGGCGGAGCTTGGAATGTGACTCTGAGCTTCTGACCCAGTTTATAGCTGAGGGGATGTCTGATATATGAAGGATGGTTTTATGCTCTTAAAGTTGCAGAAGGAACCTTAAACTTGAAATCAGAGGCTATCGGTGTAACCGTTGGTGGCTCTAGACACAAGTCATATGCCACATAACCTGTCATCTCACAGGCCTCTGTGCCTTGGTGGGATCACCCTCGGACCTTGCATTCTGGTTCCAGAAGCAGCAGGTGGTGTCCACAGCACGAGTATTCCAGTCCACGTGAGGATGAGTCTCAGGCTGCGAACCCAGACCGGCAGTGGGCCGTGTGGGCTGGCCCCAGCAGGAAGCAGGCGCTACAGTGCCCAGAGGAGGGAGGAGCAGGCTGGGTGGCCTCGGGGCTCCTGGGCGGGCTGTCCTGTCTGTGGCCCACCTACGGTGCCTGGCTGTGCCAGCATTCAGTACCACAGCTGGGTCCCCCAGGGGCTTCTGCCCTCATGGACAGCCTGGGCCCTTAGGCTGGGACCTTCAGAAATAACCTTTTGGAGGACCTCCTCTAGATAAAGGATAATAATCTTAAAAGGGAGTTTTATCTGATAACAGTCCAGGGGCACCTGGTTGGCTCAGTTGGTTAAGCCTCCGACTCTTGATTTCAGCTCAGGTCTTGATCTCAGGGTCCTGAGTTCAAGCCCCGTGTTGGGCTCAATGCTGGGTCTGGAGCCTACTGACCAAACAAACAAACAAACAAAAATAAGAGTCCAGATCGTGGAGTCAGACCTTCTAGTCCCAGCTTTGCCATTTACAGTAGTTTTTGTTAAGCCTTTTTTAAAACAAAAACAAAAAAAAAAAACTTCAAAATGTCAATTCATCTCTCTGGGCCTTTGTTTTCTCACTCATGAACTGAACATTGTAGAACCTGCCCTTCCCACCTCCCAGAGCTGCTGGAGGATCACGTAAGAGCATGTGTGCTAGCACTCTGTCAGGGTGCAGCAATTTTATTCTTTTCCTTCTGATACTCAATTTAAAATATTACTTGAGCACTTTTATGATGTAGGAGGCCCTGCGCTGGGTGGTTTCTCACAAAATTTGACATTTTGGATAGACAGAAGGTGGCACAGAGGAATCCTAGAGACAAAGCCCTTGTGGGCCGAGAGATCCCCAAAGCCCCAGTGTGAATGGGAGCAGGCCAGGGTGAGAACATTCTTGCTTCCCTCCTTTAGTGCTTGAGATCCAGTGGTTGAGTGAGCCGTGAGGTCTGTGGGTGTCCAGGCAAAGGCTGGGCCTCCTTTGTCCTCTTGAAGCCTGGTGTGTTAGCAGGTCTTACACACACACACACACACACACACACACACGTATACACACACCATATACAATCACTGCACATGCATGCCCCGTGCACAATAAACCTGGCCTCAAACACACATGACTACAAGAAAACAGACTGACTTGAGTTCAGATCCTTCCAGAAAATGGGGCTGATGTCCTGTTGACCGTGAACTATTTTACGAAGACTCAACCTCCTATTACAACTGCTCTTTGGAAATCCTTTTAAATGACACTTGATGTCACTGAAAAAAACTCCCAAGTGGGCTAAAAAGGTAGAGAGATCAGATCCTAGGAAAGCGTTTCCCGATGGGGGTGGCTGGGTGCCCCTCGCCCTGTCCCCAGCGCACAGAAGCAAGGCCGCCTTTGGGTTGCTGCCTAAACCGATGAGTAAAAATATATGTGGGGCCAACGAAGGTGGGGGAGGTAAGAGCCATAAACGTGAGGGCCTCCCGAACTCTGACCCCAGAAACTCTGCCCTAACGTGGCTGCGTCCCTTCCCTCACTCACTTCCTCTACCCCAAAGCTTTTCCCACACAACTTCCCTCTGTCTTCTGCTACCTTGTTCTGTAGGTCAGTTGAGTTAAAGGGACATAGCCAAGAACAGTCCCTAATGTTTTCAATTTTTGATGCTGTCGCACTGGAACCAGGGGGGGAAATGATGGCATCTCTAGCTGATTTGTTTGGCTTGTCTTCCCTCTCTCCCTCCACCCCCCTGCCTCCCTCTCCCCTGCCCTTCTTCATTTTTTTTCTTTTTCATTTGCCAAGTAGTCTTTCCCCCTCCATGTTCCTAATGATTTTTGAAACACAAAGATGATATATCAGAGAACAGTGTTCGAGTATCTGGTGTCCCTTTAACACGGCTTGCTTGTTTTGGCCTCCTTATTTGCTCCCTAGCACCATCCAAGATCAGCATGGATGCTACCAGCCCAGCTCTGGAAACCGTGTTTAGCAATCCTTTCTACTCTAGAGCCAGGAAGTGGGCAGGGGTCGGGGGGAGAGAGCTGTGCCTGCCTCTCTGTGAGGGCCCATCCGAAGAGCAGCCCCAGGTTTTCTCTCTCAGCTGTTTGACTTAGTTCGAATGCGGGGAGATGGGTTTTCCCATCTGCCTGTGTAGTCTTTGACCGAAATGGCGTGAGGAAAGAGAGCCAGGGCAGGGAGTTGACCTTGGCCGGTATGAATGAGACCCGCACCTCTCAGGCACCCCAGGGGAAGTGTCACTGGGCAAGGGGGTCTCTTCGGGGCCAGCGAGCAAGGGCACAGCAGTCCCCAGCCCCCCTTCTGTGGCCTCTCCTCGGGGCACCTTCAGTGCTGGTCCTGGGACAGAGCTCACAAGGGGTGAGCGACAGGTAAGGTCATGCAGAGGGAGCTGGAGACCCCAGGACGAGCTGCCCTTTCCTGTTCCGGGGAAGTGAGCCCAGGCAGGAGATGGGGCGAGAGCTCCGCGGGGGTGCGAGTTTGAATCGTCCATTCCTTCCTCCGCTGCAGATGAGTGAGAGCGAGACTCTCATCAGTATGGTGAACCGCATGGTGGAGAACTCCTCCCCCAGGGCCCAGATCTTCATGCAAGTAAGACCTCTGCCTGGCAGCATGGCCCCCGCCAGCCTCCATCTCAGCTGCTCGTGCATGGTCTAGTCCAGCCATTGGGCTGGGTGCGCTCTGCCCCAGCCGCCCATCCGCCGGGCCTCATCTCCCAGGCTCCTGTGTCCCCCTCCCCTAATTCCACTGTGTCTCCTCCATTCTTCATGTTCATGGGTGAACCCAAGGTCCATTGCTCAGACCATCAAGATAGCCAGACCCTCCATCCCATTTCATGCCAGAGACCGCAAATCTGCTCTTTAATGTCCAGGACTTCTGTTTCATGTTGGGTAGCTTCTCCACAGACGTCTTTGGGGTTCAGGGCACGAGGGTGTGACACGGACCCATCCGATGCCCCACTTGTATAGAATGTGCTGTGGTCTCGGGATGCCTCACCAAGGCTGGGCAGCATTTGCTGGTGTAAGCACAAGCCCCCCAGGACTGCTGCGCTATCTACCAAGATACTTTCTCCAATGTTTCTGGTGCTTGTTCCATTTCCCCATGTCTCATCCTCAAAAACAGCCAAGTGTTAACTGCTGTTCTCAGGCTTGTTCCCAAAAAGCCATCCGGGATGTTTACACCCCTGGAGTCCCTCTCAACAGTAGATCTAGAGCTTGGGGGTGGGGAGAGAGGAGATCCTGAGTCGGAGCTGAGCAGCGTCGCTATCTCCAGAAATCAGCCTAAACAATGGGGAGGAACCTAGACGGGGCCATGCCAGGCTTCCCAGCCAGGGACAAAGAATTAGCTCGGGGTCCCGGAGTGGAAGCTACCAGAGCTGACGGACCATGATCTCCAACAAGAATGGAGCAAGGGCTGTCCGCTTTTCCGTCCCCGCACGCCCTACCCGTCCCCTGCTGCTGTAACCGGCCTCGTGTTCCTGCAGGTCCCTCCATACCCAGAAGTGTTCCGGGACGGTCTCCACACCTACAAGTTAAACGAGCAAGACACAGATGTAAGAGCAGCTCTCCTGCTCCTCTGTCCTCTCCAGTCCCTCCCGCTGTCGTCCTCATCTTCGCTCTCCTCCGCTGGCGCTTTTCCTCCGTTCATCTCTGCCCTTCTGGTGGCTCTTCATGCCTTTGACTCATGCCCTCTCTCAGCACAAAGACAACTTTCTGCCTGCCCCTTCCTCATACCCCTTCTTTTCTCGTTCCTCCCCCCTCCCCCCATCCCGTGCTGGCTGTGTGTGTTTCCCCACGGAGCCCTAGACCCTCTTGTCTCCAGCAGTGGGATCTGCTTATTCCAGGAACACAGACTTCATTACGAGGGGCAGAGGCCAGGCTGCGTTGTGTCCAGCATGGCAGTCACCCCTGAATCACAAGAGGGAAGCGCACGGCCCTGCCCTGGGTAGTGGGAGATGCCAGGTAGCAGCAGGTGGCCCCTTACGGCTCATGGCCAACGGGCACGGACAGTGGGTTCTGCAGGAGGGCAGGGCAGTGAGACCATGTGGACTGGGGGGTCAGGGACAAAGCAGGTAACGGGTGAGCTGGGCCTGGGAGTGAAAAGGCCCAGAAGACGAGATGTGACCATTAGAAATGAGTCACGGGGGTATTTGAGGAATGGCATGAAGAAAGGTATGGATATTAGAAAGCCTAAGTCTTTCTAGAACTTCCTCCCCATCACCCCTGGTCTTGCCTGGATAAAGGATCTACCGAGGAGACCTGGGAGGCTTTCCGTCCAGGCAAGGGCCAGACCTCAGGAGGATCCCAGTGTCAGCCATTCTGAGACCCCAGAAGGAGGGGAGAAGTCATCTGAGCCTGTGGAACCATTTACATGGGTCCCTGGTTTTCCTAACACTGCTGGTTCAGACGCCCCGTGTACTCCTCCCACCCGTGCCCCTCTGGGAGGCCCCGGAGGCCAGCCACGTTATCGCCTCAGCCCTTCGGGAACAGGAACCCCTAGGAGAAGGGGGATACAGGAGCTTAACATTGAACTCCCCTCTCCACTGACTGACTTCCTCAGAGAACAAGCACATCCCCCCTCTCAGTAGGTCCTTGGGAAGTCTCCCGAGGTGAAGACCATCTTCCCGTTCCCAGGAGCCTCCAAGGTCAAAGTGAAGAAGGCCTAGGGTTCCTCAGCAGGGGAAAGGAGGCGGTATCCAGAGGCCAGGCCCTGTCGACCCATTTCCCAGGTCCCTGTCAAAACCATGTCCTTCACCCCCTTCTCTCTCCCTCCCTTCCCCCCACCTCCTCGGGCCCCCAGAAGCTGCTGGGCAAATTGTGCGAGCAGAACAAGGTGGTGAGGGAGCAGGACCGACTGGTGCAGCAGCTCCGAGCTGAGAAGGTGAGAGCCGGGGGCGCCCTGGAGTTGGGGGTGTGTGGGGAGCCCGGCACAGACAGGTGTGGGGTGCCGTCTCCACTCGGAGCTGACAGAGCCCTGTCTTAAACTTCTGTCCTTTCCCTAACTGGGACTGTGGAAGCTCTTCTGTGGGCCTGGCCGGTGGGGACAAGCTCCACGAAGGTGCTGGGTTGAACTGCTGGGGCTCGGAGAGGAGTCATCAGAGCCGCTGACGGCCATTCCCCTGCCTTTCTTCAGGAGAGCCTGGAAAGTGCCTTGATGGGGACCCACCAGGAGCTGGAGATGTTTGGGAACCAGCCTGCCTACCCCGAGAGGCTGCTGCACAAGAAAGAGTCCCTACAGAACCAGCTCATCAACATCCGGGTGGAGCTGTCCCAGGCCACCACGGTAACGCCACTCCCCCCCGCCTCCCATCCCCTGGTCTGGCCGTCTGCACTGGGACAGGAGGGCCACCCCTCCCAGGCTGTGCTGTCTCGTTTCCCACTCAACTCGGTGGCCAGGAGCACCTGAAGGGGCAGAAACAAAAGACCTTAATATTAATAGTGCCCTGCAGATAGGCAGCGAGCGTGCCGGCCAGCTCGCTCCATAGTCTTCGGCAAGGAAACAGGCTTCTTTTCCCCAAACCACTCCTGCCTTGCTGTTGTTCAGGACAGGGCGAGGTCCAGGGCTCCTTATCTCACGGGCTGCTTTCACAGCTTTGCTGCCTCCTCTGTCTTCTTCCCTGGAGAACCGGGACACTGGCGCCAGGCTGCTGGCCCGGTCATTTGCCGTGGGCTCAGGGCAGACCCTGCAGGACCGATTGCCCGGAGAGTTCTGGGGTGCTGCAACCAAAGGCCCAGCAAAACATGGCCCAGAAAGGCGGAAGGTCTCTAACCCCCAGGGAGCAAACACCTTTGGGTTTCCTCTCTTCTTGCCCTCCGCTTGGGATCACCCAGTCTGGGGAGACCAGGAGGGGGTGGGCATGGTATGATCCCATCCCCCACCTCTGGAGAGGATTCTGGTTTCTGTGTTTTAGCCTACAGTTGGGTGGGCCACTGTTATGCTATCATCAGAATGTCTCAGCCCTGGGCCCTGTCCTCCTGTCCCTCCGTGCTCTCCTCTAAGCCCTGCGAGACCCCAGGTGCCCTGGCCCTGGGCCCTGTGTAGGGATGGGTGGGGAGGAAGACTTAGACAATGGCCGCTGTCTCAGTAAAGCCGCCCCCCGTTGCAGGCCCTGACGAACAGCACCGTAGAGTATGAGAGCCTTGAGTCAGAGGTGTCCGCCCTGCACGATGACCTCTGGGAACAGCTCAATTTGGACGTCCAGGTGAAGAGGGCCCCTGGGCAGGAGGGGGTCAGTGTGCCTTCCCTTCTCCTTTGGGCCAAAGGGGCTTCCTTTCTTGCTTCCGAGATCTCAGAGACTTGAGACAGGGCATCTGTCCTGAGACAGAAGACAAGGTTCACATCCACATAAAACAGACACTCTCAGGATGAAGACCGTGTGAAATCTTCTTTAGTTCCATCAGATCACGAGAAAGGAGTAAAGCATAAACATGAGAGCGCTGGGTTAGACGAACATACTTTATGACTGGAAGGACTGAACCCATCGAGATAGATATGGATGTAGGTCTGGGTAAGGGTTTCAGTCCACATGCGGGTAGAGCCATGGGCCTATGTCCAGCTGTCTCTCACGACCTCAGAAGAAGTCGGTGCGGGAGCCAGCCACTCAGGACCTTTGAGATAGGAAGGAGTGTTCCCTTCCCAGGATGGGTTAGAAACACTGCTTGGAGGCGGGAGACCGCACACATTGACCTTGAGGAGTTCCTGTTCTTTTCCTCCCTTTATCTTCTCTACGCCGGCTCTGCATCTGCCTTCGCTAGCTTTGCAAGCCCTGTCTCTCCAATGCAGGTCATGCCCCTCACTCCCCCTAGTTTCCTCTGGGGGATGAAACTCACCACCGCCCTTGCAGCTGGTTAGGGAGGGGGAGGTGAAGGCCCTCCGGATCCAGAGCACCTGAATGCCTCCGTGTCCTGCGGGCGAGTCTGACTTGCAATACGAACATTTTAGGGGGTCAGGAAGCATCCTGGTCGAGGGCACGAGCTCTCAAGACAGACCCAGACTCAGAAGGTGGTCACACTGCTTACTAACAGGGTCATGGGCACGAGACGAGTCTCTCCATCTCTAAAGTCGGGACACCTGAGGCCTGTGCCGCACAGAGTTCTTGTGCAGCCGGAAGGAGTTAGTGTACCTGAGGCCCCGTGCCAAGCCTGGCGCATGGGGTGGAGGACCGCGGGGAGGCTAAGTAGGCGGTAGCTGGATTTTTCCGAGGGCAAACTCTAACCGAACATAATTCGTGACTACTTCGCCAGACATTAGGTGTCGGTATTACAAAAGGGCTGTTTGGCTAGAAGGAACGTTAGTCAATTGTATACACTTGCCCTTGACAATGCGCTACCCTCAAGTGTCCACCTAGAGGGGCATTTGCTCCAAGACCACCCTGATCTCCCCAGGGAAGCTGAGGCTGCATGTTTACCTAAAGGGGCTCTGGGCTGTGATGACTGGGCCCTCTCCTCTGGGGCTTTCCCACAGGAAAGATGAATGCGCCAAAGGGACGTGGGAGCACGTGCATGCGCAGGGCTCCTGCTGGCCCAGAGGGACTCGGGGAGAAGGCTGGCGCCTTCCTCGTGGCCACCTCCCTTGACCCACTCTCGTGTGGTTCCAGAATGAGGTGGTCAACCGGCAAATCCAGAAGGAGATCTGGAGGATCCAGGATGTGATGGAGGGGCTGAGGAAGAATAACCCATCCCGGGGCACCGACACAGCCAAGCACCGAGGTGGGAGCCTTCTCCGCCGGCCTCCTGGCGGCTCAGCAGAAATGCTCTGGTCTTTGGCTTCCATCCCACATCTCTCATACTCCCCCACTCCAGGCCCTCACTCTGGGCTCGGAGCTAGTCAGGGCCTTCTCAGGCTGCCGGGATCTGCCCCGGGGATGGTAGGTAGGGGTCCCTTATTCCTTCCTCTCCGCCCAGAACAGACGAGGCATGCCACTTAGGGACCTCGTGGACCCTGATAGTCTAGATTCGTCCCCAGAAAAGGTCGAAGAGCATCTGGGCCTCCCCATCCCACCCCCACCCAAGCCTACGGTCCAGGTGGTGATCGGAAGTGCTGGGACTCCGGCTGGCTTTCTTTGCCATCTCAGAGGCAACAGTGTCCTTTCCATCCATCATCTAACCCCTGCCCAACATGCTTCTCCGCAGCCAGCCTGCTCCCCAAGCCCTGGACTAAGTCCCTCCATCAGGCCTGGGTAGCCCTGAAACCTCCCTCCCACGTCCCTGGGGCCTCCCCAGCCTCCTCCACCACAGAGCCCACCCCCATGCCAGGGCACACCCCTACCCCATCCATCCCTCATCTCTCCTCTCTGCTTGCCCCCCAGGAGGCCTCGGCCCCACGGCCACCTACAGCTCCAACAGCCCCGCCAGCCCTCTCAGCTCCGCCAGTCTCACCAGCCCCCTAAGCCCCTTTTCACTGGTGTCCGGCTCCCAGGGGTCCCCCACCAAGCCCGGGTCCAGCGAGGTAAGCTGAGAAAATGGAGTAGAAGGTAGGTGGGGGACGGAGGGAGAACCAGGTCCTCTTCCGCCTGCAGGACACAGACTGTGCCCATCTCCGCCCCTGAGGCCTCCAGGCCTAGTGCTTTGGCTTTCTGTCTAGGGTGCTCGTTCTCACACCCAGTCTGGGGAACTTGCTTCCAGATTTTCCCTTTACTTGCCCTCATCCACATTCATCATCTTCAGCCTCCGTCCAGGGAAGTCTCTTCCTAAGCACAAGGACGGTTAACAAAGATCCCCAGCGCTGAGTGGGACTTTAAATCCAGGACTGTCCTGTCATGTGAGAGGGTTGAGGGTGGGCGTGGGGAGCAGTTTCCTAGCTGGTGTCTCGCGGGGCTCTACACGGGGCAAGAGATGCGGTGAGGCCCTCTCGGAAACATACACGTGCATGGCTGAGGCCCTTCTCCTGGGGAGCCCAGTGTCCAGGCGGGGACCAAGACCGATTTAGAGGAAGCGGCCAGCCTCTGGAACGTGGCAGTGTGTGTCTCAGGTTGGATCGTAATGACCCGGATGTTCTGAGGGGAAGGTTGAACCTTCACTGGGACAGGTAGAGGAGCAAGGGAAATGCATCATAGGCAGCAGAGGTGGTCGAAGCAAAGATAGAGGGTGCGGATGTGCCCAGGGTGATGGTGAGGCCAGTGAGCAGGGAGCTTTGGAGAAAAATTGGGGGACAGTGGGGAGCAGTGCACAGGTGGGGGCCCAGCCGAGGGGAGACTTGAAGCCAGGCTGAGCGTTCACTCCGGAGCTGGCTCTCCCTCCGGGACACGGGTGGGAGTTTGGTGGTCTGGGGGCCAGCCCTGGGTCCCCGCGATGTCATCTGTCTCCTGCTAACACTCTTTTCTCCTGCTCTCACAGTGGCTGCTCTCCTTCCTCCTAATGCTCTGGCTTCTTTCTGCCTCAGGAGCCCGGCCCGCCGCGGCCCCCCCTCCCCAAAGCCTACGTCCCCCTGGAGTCTCCTCCAAACGTGCCACCACTCCCTAGCGAGAGCCGCTTCTGGCCGTACCCCAGCTCCCCTGCCTGGCACCACAGTGGCGAGCCAGCCAGGGGTCAGGTACCCAGCCCCCTTGGGTCCTGGAGGGCAGGGGCGGAGGGAGCAGGGCAAAGGGGCAGGTGAGGGGGCAAGGCAGGACATGGAACCATTTTTCCGTCATTTCAATATTAATTTTCCCACAGCCACCCAGGCAGACTCTAGGATAAGGAAAAGGGGTGGCTTTCCTCTTTCTGCTCTCTGTGGACAGAGGGGAAAATGAGTGTCGCCCCACCCCATGCCCAGGGTCCTGGGCAGCTCCTGGCTGTGAGCGGTGGTGTGCCCCACTTCCTACCAGTGCGAGCAGACGAGGGAGATCAAGGGACCTGCCACGGCTGGTGCCATTCCAGTCCCTTCCTGTCCACCTCAGACCCCGGTCCTTCCATGCTATCTGTCTCTCTGCCTTTCCTGTGTCCTCTCGGGTCTCACCGGCCCTGGGCTGTAAGCTGCCCTGTTCTGGCTCCCCAGCCTCCCTCCCCAGGACAGAGGTGCAGTTAGGCTGGGAAGAGGTTGCGGGTGGGTAGTCCTGCGTCTAAAACTGGGCGCCATGTTCTCATCCCAGCTCAGCTGCCAGGACGCACGCAGCCCCTGAGGGTCTGGCTGCCGGTGAGCGGGGCGGAGAGGCAGGGTCACCTCCGCTTTCCAGACGAGGGGAGGCGATGGGGCTCACCCATCTCTGTCACTGGACTCGAGCTGGTGTTTCTGGCCTCGGGCTCAGTCTTTCTGTGTGTCCCTCACGAAGACTTAGACCTTTTAGCTGTCCTGTGGGAGTGTAGAGGGGGTGCCGGTGGTGTCTGAGGCCCCTTCTAGTCCCAGGATTCTGCAAGCCCTCAAGCTAAGTGTGCACTTCTGCCCCCCAGAATCTTGGTACCAAAGCCCACCTGGTTCTCTTGCTCAGGTTTTGGGTGGGATCCTGACAGGATCCTCAGAGAACCTCATTCTTGTAGCCCTCCTCCTCCAGCCATTCCTCCTCTCTGGTGCACAGCGAGTCTGTGCTTCTTGGTGCTCGCCAAGAGGCCTGGTCAGGTTGAGGGGCCTCTCTGTGGGCCTCGGCTGAGGGTCTCCTGGAAGTCCTGAGCCCTCACTGCGCAAGATGAGCCAACATTGGCCGGCCTTAAGGTCGCCTGGGTGGGAGGCTCCACGGCATCCCTGCCCACTTCCCAGCAGGCACACTCAGAGTTTCCTCATCCTGTGTTTTCAAGGCTCTGTGCTCCAACCATTGAAACCAAAGAAACATCCCTGAGGGCCAAGTTCCCAGCAGTCCCTACAGCGTGGGCCATCTTCTCATTTTTCCCCCCAGCCCAAGGCAAGCCAGGAGCAGAACAAGAAAGACCCCCACCAGACCTCACCCCTGGACACCGCTAGAGACATCAACCTTGTGCCCACCAGGCAAGAGGTGGAGGCAGAGAAGCAGGCAGCTCTCAACAAAGGTACTTCCTATCCCATCCTGCCCTAGAAGGAAAGCCAAGGGTCAGAGAGAGCCAGAGAGGTACTCCTTCACAGCCAAAGAGAGCAAGTACGCACCCATTCTGGGCCTTTCCTCTCTGCCACAGGTGGGACTGGGCCTCCTTGGAAAAGCAAGCTCCCCATCTTCCTGCCCCACTGTTCTCAGGAAGGCCCACTGGCCATTCTGTCTCCCTACAGTTGGCATTGTGCCTCCTCGGACAAAGTCGCCCGCCGATGAGGAGCTAACGCCGTTAAGGGTGGTGAGAAGGAGTGCCGATGGGCTCACCAATGGACTGTCCTCCCGGGTGAGCACAGCCTGTGGGCCCCGGGCGGGCCTGAGTTGCTCTGGGGGTCCAGGGGCCTTTGTGTGTCCCCCCATCTGTCCACCATTCAAGAAACCCAGACCTGGAGGAGGAAGGCAAGATAAGTGGGAGGACAGCAACAGCCCCACTGGAGAAGTTTTCCATCAGGGAGACACATCAAGGGACAAGGGACAAGGGACAAGGGACAAGGAAGATACACATAAGAAAGAATAGTTAGCAAAATTATTATTTTTTTAAAAGATTTTATTTCTTAATTTGAGGGAGAACGAGCATGAGCAGGGAGGGGGCTGCAGAGGGAGAGGGGAGAAGCAGACTTTCCTGATGAACAGGGAGCCCGATGCAGGCTCCCAGGACCCTGAGATCATGACCTGAGTGGAAGGCAGGCGCTCAACTACCTGAGCCACCCAGGTACCCCTTATAATAGTCTATATTATAATGTGTATTATATAATAACAAAATGATTATAATGTGCCAGCGATGAACTACAAATCCAGCAAAAATCAGTGATCCGAGTCAAAGGGGCCGACCTAAGGCTGCAGACTCATTTCTTAGGGCTTCTGGGAAATGAACAAAGCCCCCCAGACTTGGGGGTTTAAAACAAGAGGAAGTTGATTCTCTCACAGTTGCAGAGGCCGGAAGTCCAAAATCGAGGCGTCCCTAGGGTTGGTTCCTGGGGAGGCTCTGAGGGAGCTTCCATCCCATGCCCGTCTCCCAGCGTCAGGTGTTGCTGGCCGTCGCTGGTGTTCCTTGGCTCGTGGACAAAACACCCCAGTACCTGCCTGCACCTTCACATCACCTTCTACCCTGTGTCTTCCGTCCTGTCCCTTACAAAGTCACCTAAGACTGGACACAGGGTCCACTCCAATTCCCGACACTCTCCTCTCAAGATCCTTACCTTAACCACACCCACAAAGACCCTATTTCCAAATCAGGTCACATTCACAGGTTCTAGGGGGTCAGGTCGTGCCCATGTGTTTTGGGGCTGTTCTTTTTTTTTTTTTTTTTCCAAGATTTAAAAAAAATATATTTATTTGACAGAGAAATCACAAGTAGGCAGAGAGGCAGGCAGAGAGAGAGGGGGAAGCAGGCTTCCTGCTGAGCAGAGAGCCAGATGTGGGACTCGATCCCAGGACCCTGAGATCATGACCTGAGCCGAAGGCAGAGGCTTAACCCACTGAACCACCCAGGCGCCCCATTAGGGGCCATTCTTTACCCCACCACAGACAGGCTTCCCAGAGAAGGGACATGGAAGGCATTAGGGCAGATGAGGAAGCGGGAGTGGGGGATGGGCACCCGTCAGAGCCCGCTCTCCCCCTGCAGCAGGAGCGCCCCAAGAGTGCCGTGTTCCCCACTGAGGGCAAGGTCAAGATGAGCGTGGAGGAGCAGATTGACCGCATGCGGAGGCATCAGAGCGGCTCTATGAAGGAGAAGCGGAGGAGCCTGCAGCTCCCGGCCAGCCCTGCCAGCCCAGCCAGCCCGGCCCCCGACCCCGCTGCCCGGCCCGCTTACAAAGTGGTAAAGTCCTCCCAGCCTCCCGCAGGCCGGGCTGGGCATCTGCCAAACACGGCGCATCCCCAGTCCGTGACCGGCCTGGACTGGGGCAGCTTGGGGGAAGGTCATAAGAGATGGGCCTGGGAAGGACCCAAGCTGGGCACCCGGGAGAACGGGGGGAGCCTTCTCCCCACTAGGCGGAAGATACACGACAGCAAAGCATTCCTTGTATGTGTTTAAAGAAAAATAATTCACAAAAGGGAGTGCATTGATTGTTTAAGTTGAAATGAATGATACAAAATTCAGTTAATAGAGCATAGTGCAAAATTCAGCACCCAGGGAGAGCCGTCACTCACACGCGTGTCTAGAGCATTTTCCGTGTGTTTCTGTGTAGACCCTGGGGTGGGTCTACTGAAGAGGGTCGTCATAGGGCCCTGCCACGTGGCGCCATGTGGTTCTCGAATCTCATGTTATTTTATTTAGTTCTTTCAGTTCCCAGGTTAGGAATTACCACCCCTGTCTTAGATGTAGGGAAACGAAGTCAGGAGAAATTCAGGACTCCTGCGCCACATGGCTGTTGAGTGTGGAGCTGGGAGTAGCCCCAGGCATCTGCCTTTTTTCTTTCCACCGCATTTCAGAAATACAGGAAAATCAGGATTAAAAGTCTTACCCTCAAAGGGTTTACAGTCTCCTTGGTGGATTGGAGCTTTTGTAACAGGAATCCACTAATCCAACTGCCTAAGAGAGATGGCGCAGACTGAACACAGGGTCCAACCAGATGGGAAGTAATGAGTCCCAGTGAGACAGACATATTGATGACATTTGGCCTTTGCAGGTGGGCAGGCTTTGGACAAGCAGCGTGGCAGGAGGCTAGCTGTCCCACGGTGGGAACGGTGGGGTGGCAGCCGTTTTGGCATGATGAGTGGGGACAGCGAGGACACAAGCCTGCTTAGGGCTGCCTGGAGGCATGGGCAGCAGGGGACAGAGTCCCCGTGTGGTCATGATGGCGCTGTCCCCTAGGTGCGCCGTCACCGTAGCATCCACGAGGTGGACATCTCCAACCTAGAGGCAGCCCTGCGGGCGGAGGAGCCTGGCGGGCAGGCCTATGAGACACCGAGGGAGGAAATTGCCCGGCTTCGCAAAATGGAGCTGGAGCCCCAGCACTACGACGTGGACATCAATAAGGAGGTGAGTGAATTCCAGGAGGGCAGAAGGGGAGAAAGCCTGGGGATGGGGGGTGGGTGGGGGGAGGGGACGGAACGGAGGTGGTGACCTTGGTCCCTCCCCAGCTCTCCACGCCAGACAAAGTCCTCATTCCTGAACGGTACATTGACCTGGAGCCTGATACTCCCCTGAGCCCCGAAGAGTTGAAGGAGAAGCAGAAGAAGGTGGAGAGGATCAAGACGCTCATTGCCAAGTCCAGGTAATGTGCTGGGTGAACTCCTCTGTCCGCCCTGGCACCTGGGACACTAGTGCCCTTGAATCCAGCACCCCGCCCCATGCCAGTGGGAGCCCTGAGCCTCCCCAGCAGAGGGCAGGTGGAGAGTGGCTCAAGAGAGCAAAACAGACCCAGCCCTGTGGCCGTGGCAGGGATGCTGTCATTGCGTGCCCAAAAGACCTGTTGGACGCAGGCACATGCTATCATCAAGACAAACTGAGGGGTTGCCCTCTGGTGACTTCTCTTCCTCATCAAGGCTGCCCCAGATGTTCACTCGAACCTTCTCATTCATTTTAAGACATTGCAGTGGGGGGTCCCAAAATGTGTTTTGCCAAGGTCCGTCCCACTCCCGCCTGGGGACAGCCTTGCTGGGAACCAGAGCCTGCCCACTCACAGCCCTCTGGCCACCCCGCCAACCTCAGTCCACAGGCCCCCCCCAAGCCAGTCAGACCATCCTGTCCCCCCACTCCATGTCTGTGTGTCTGTGCCTCCTCAGTATGCAGAACGTGGTGCCCATCGGCGAGGGGGACCTTGTGGACGTGCCCCAGGACTCAGAGAGCCAGCTGCAGGAGCAGGAGAAGCGGATTGAAATCTCCTGTGCCCTGGCGACCGAGGCCTCCCGCAGGGGCCGCATGCTGTCTGGTGAGAGGGGCCGGGCCCCGCTCCTCCAGGGAGACCGGCTGACCAGGTGCAGGGGAGGAAGCTCAGTGCTGCGAGGGGGCCAGGGATAGAGAGACACAGGGCCAGGGAGACCTGCCTCAAGGTCAGGACGAGCATTTATTGAGCACCAGGTACTGTGCCAGGCTTGGTGGGGTGCCAAGGGGCCAGAGTTGCCTCCAGGAGCTCAGAGCTGGGATGCTCTCTTAGAGCTGCTCTATGAAGGAACGGCCAGAAGCCACGCAGGGAGCAAGGGCGCCACTATCCCTGGGCAGCTCAAGGAAAGGCATAGCGAAAGGGCGATCCCTGAGCTTGGCTGGGAAGGATAAAGGCATCACCAGTCACGGAGTGGGTCCAGGCATTGCAGGGTACCCTCTCCCTTCCCCTTCTGGCTGTGTGCAAATAGGAAGGTGTCAGAAGGGCAGGTGGCCAGAGGTGAGAGTGATCCAGTTACCACCCTGGCTACTGACCCAAACCCACTTCTCTGCTAGGAAAAGATGAGCATGAGGAACAGATTTCACGCTGATACAAAAGCTAGAGGGTTCCACCCAGTCACTGTGAGGTTGAGGTCAGCCTGAGGTTCGGCCCCAGAGAAGGTGAGACCAGAATCAGGAAGAACAGAAGAGGGTCTCTTAAATGGGGCGGGGGGGTGAAGGATGGAGGAAAGACGGTGGTTACATGATGAAGCCCGATGGGGGTTGCGGAATGTGTCCCCCTCAGGACCAAAGGTGATTAGGGAAGAGAAGGAAAGGGAGAGCTTAGAAGGCCAGTCCAGAGAGATGCCCGGGAAGGATGCCAGGTTTGCAAGGAGGAGGAGGCAAAGAGACAGGTGTGCTGGCCCCCAGTGACGGTAGCCAGGGCGAGGGGTCAGCAACGAGCAGCTTGGGACTGTGGCCAGAAGCCCAGCGGAAGGGATGGCGTTTCATTTTAGTGATCAAGAGGGCTCTGAATTCTGGCTTCCGGGGACTCTATGTCCTCATCTGTAAAATTCAAATCGAAATAGCTGCGTGGCGGTGTGAGCAATGGCGGCGATGAATGCTCAGCGCCCAGCACAGTGCCTGGCACTCAGTAAGTGGTCACTGAATGCTAGCCCGATGTGGCCGCGGTGGTGCTAGTGACGGCAGGAGGACTCGTTGACCTAGCAGTAGCTGGAGTAGAAGGAGGCTCTGTGTGCGGTTTTCCTTGCTAATTTAAATGTGGATATTTTTAGAAACCAGAGGGTTTCGGGCTACAGCAAAGGGAATTTACGCCTTAAGGAAGAACCTACTGGCGGTCAGGTTCTAAGGGACATCTAGTGGGCGGCCAGGGAACACTGCTGGAGGTATTTCAGAGAGAGACTGTTGGCTGGGCTGGAGCTGAGGACAAGAGAAGGGATGGGCTTCAGGCAGTCCCGTCCCGCTGCCAAAGGCGGCAGGACAAGTTTGGGCTGCACGGAGGCCTCAGTCCCACCTCTCTGTAGTTTAGCTATAAAATGAACTTGAATCTTCCAAAAATCAAATTCCTCCTGCTCTGGGCAAAAGGCAACTTCCTGTTTCAAGGGTTAGTGCACACAACACTGTTTTTAAAACTTCTCTCTGCCCTTGCTCCAGCCCCTGGCTCTCTCTCCTGTCATTTCCCAGCCAAAGATTCCATGAAAACAAAACCCAGCCTGGCCTCTCAGATTTCCCTCTCGATACACACCAGCTTACGTTTCAGGGTCTGTGTGCTGAAAGTAAACCGTCATTTTGCTTTTGCCAAAACCCCAACTATTTAAAAAATGGCATAGCAGGGCCAGACCTCAGACTTAGCCCACGGTCCCCGCTGCCCCCTTGGCCTCTGGCCCAGATTCCCAGAGCTGCAGCTCTGCCCGGGACAGCGAGGACTGTGCGTGGGCACGGGTTCAAGCCTGGGACCGTGCATGTGGGAGTGCCAGGTGCGGGTCGTCAGGACAGCGTGGCGTGCACAGGGTGGGGAGGCCGTGCCCAAGAGTGCGTGTGTGGCGTGCATGGCGGGATCAGGAATGCTTGTCAGCAGACCCAAAGCGTGCAGACTCATGGAGGAGGTATAGGGGAAGACGCGGCAAGTGTACGTTTGTACGCGTGGCACGATGTCGGGTGCAGTGCCTGGGGGACGTTTGTAGAGGGATGCGCATTTGTGTGTATTCAGGTGCGTGTTTAGAGAGGATGTGTGAGCGCAAATACAGAGCGAGGTATGTGTATGACTGCAGAATGTCTACGGACATTGTGGGGAGATCACTATGAGTACAGGAGGGATTTAGCGAACTGTTGGAGTTTACATACGTGTGTGCGAGGGTACAGCTTACGGATGGAGGCAGCGTTGATGAACGCACGTATATCTGCGGGACTGGCTTGTTCTGCAGTCTGAGGACGGATAAAACACATTTGGGTCTGCGTTGTGCATGGCAAATACATTGCAATATTAGTGAACACGTATCTGTGTGTGCAGGAGGGAGGAAAGCAGGTCTCATGAAGGGGCAGGATGGGCAAGCAGGTGTGACCGATGATTTATGCACACAGACGAGATAGTACTCGCGGACCCACGGTTATAATATCGCACCTGTCCAATACATAGCTGCTACGTATGGGAATTTTAACTATTTCACCTCACTTCAAAGCACGCTGGTCTAAGTGCACGATACTTGCTTCAACCCAACTGGAACTGGAACGTTTCCCTTTTATTGAGGATTGTATTTATTTATTTATTTGGGAGAAGAGAGAGAGCACGAGCACGGGGAGGGGCAGAGAGAGAGGGAGAGGCAGGTTCTCTACTGAGCGGGGAGCGCGATGCGGGACTTGATCCCAGGACCTCGGAATTATGACCTAAACTGAAGGCAGACGCCTAACTGACTGAGCCACCCAGGCACCCTGTAAATTTCAACTATTTCAATGGATATATTCCTAATATATATTTAGAAATTTTCTGCCTTCATAAAGAAGTTATATTTAACAAAATTCATCTTTCTTGCTCTTGTTTGTTTAATATCATTATAAATACCCTTCTTCTGCCCATCCGTTGAAGGGATGCCCTTGGGGCTGTAGTTGGTACAGACCGCAGCTCTATGCTAAGTTCTCCCAAACTGCTACGCTTTTAAAGGTATTACATCTAATTTTTACAAAAGACGTTTTCGCCTCGGTTGTGCCTTCTTCTAGCTATCAGTGGGCCTGCCAAGTCCTTTTTCTCCCCTGATTTCTGTTTCTGATCTCCCATGGGGTAGACACCCAGCAGGTCAGCTCCTCAGAAGTGTGTAGAGGTAAAGAGAAACTGGCCACCCGAGAGCTCGTCTGTGCATAATTCTAAGATCCTCACGGCATGCATGTTGCCATCGATATTTGGCTTTCTTGAAACAGCCCTGGCTCAGTTTTTGACTTTTTGACTGTTTTAGAAGTCAAAGTTGCCAAACAACTAACCACTGGATCCGCTATACAGACATACGCACAGACATGTGTTTCGAAAGCGTTTGCGAATGTATTTGAGTGTGACGTCACACGTGTGTTGGGTCCCGTGGAAGAGTTCGGTTTGAAGTGCACAAACACACATATCTGAGTTGTGGGCAGCAAGCGTGGAAAACTGTTGGATCCTGTGCTTGAAGTCTGTATTCTGTGTGGGCGGATACGGCTTCCTGCTCACGAGGAAGTTCCACGTCTTGTGTCCATCTGTGACTGTGTGTGTGTACGTGATGGGAGTGCACAGAGGGCAGGGAGGTGTTGGGGTCCAGGGCAGGGTGGAGCGCAAGGGGCTAGGAAGTTGGATGCCAGGATCCTTCTGTTGGAGGAAACAGTGTGACCCTGGCTGAGGTCTGGTTCTCCTCTGAGGCCCTGTGAGCACGTTCTCTCTGCCAGTCTCCGGCCTCACAGCCGCCCTGAGTTGCGCCTGAGTCTGCAGACTGCAGAGAGCTCATCCCTCCTTCTAGGACACCCTCCCCCCTCATTGGCCTTCCACTTTGCTCTTCTCAGCATGGAATCATAACGATCATAGAGTAAAATCCATTAATTCAAATGTCACCACTTTAAGGTTCGTAATGATTTGTTCAGGGGCGGACCAAAGTTTGCCCTTTCCGGACTGATGAAGAGGGGGGTCCCCAGGGATAGCGGGGGACTGTGTTTCTGAGACCGCATGCTGGTCGAAGTTCACGGTCCCAGCCCTGCCAGATGCCTCGGTTTCCATGGAGGTGATGACTGTGGTGATAACTTGGATCTAGTCGCCTGCCGGGGCCTGATGATCGGGGGTAGTGTGGTTTTCCTGCACTGTTCATCACCCACGGTAGCTCTGTGTGTAAGGAGCCGTCGGCTGCTCTGTCTGCTCCGTTTCCACAAACGAGCAGAGGCTTGGCCCAGAGAGGCTGGCCTTGCCCACAGTCACACTGGTTCTCAGCAGAGCCTGCAGTGGCCCGGTCTCCTCCTCTGGGGCCCTGTGCCCCTCCGCAGCGCCTGGGACCGAGGCCAGCTCCGCCTCAGCTCTCCTCTCTGCTTGCCTTCTGCCTGGCTCCCCGCCTGGGGCAGGGCCTCGCTTGCTCTGGGTGCCCGGCCTCCCCACCCCTGCCACCACCACCCACCCCTATTCACCTCCCTGTTCATTTCTGTTTCCAGTGCAATGTGCCACCCCAAGCCCTCCCACCTCCCCTGCTTCCCCGACTCCACCAGCCAACCCCCTATCGTCTGAATCCCCACGGGGCGCCGACAGCAGCCATACCATGCGGGTCTGAGCTCTGACGTAAGAAATTTTCTACTGTATTTCATGCACCGCGGGGAGTGGGACCCCGCCCCTCACCCCCATGAGCCATCTACCCTCCCCCTCATTCCAGCATTGCTTATCCCCCCCACTGCCCCAGTGCCCCTGTGCCGCTCTCCCCGCTCCCTCCATCCGCTTGAGCCCGCAGCATCCCCATCCCCATCCCCGTCCCTGTCCCAGTCCCTGTGCAGTGCTGGGCCAGCGCTGGCTGGCGGGGCTGCCTCTTGGATGTCACAGTGCCGCCAGTAGGTTTTGCTTCTCCAGAAGCAGGCAGGGACAGAGCTGAGGCCTCCCCTATCCCACTGTCCGCCAGCAAGCCTGTTGAGATACACAGCAGTCCTGCCTCAGAAGCTCCCAGATCACCCCCAGATCTTCCTGTAAATGACAATACCACAGGCAACAGTGGCCAAAGACTGTGTGCCTCCCTTTCCCCTAGCACACAGCCGCTCGGTACCAGGCATGTGAAAAAGAGCATGGACTTCCATTCATGGGCTCCCCACTCAGGGCTGGGGGCGTGGGGCAGTTTTCCTCAGGGTTCTATGAGAAGAGACTTCTGTCTCCTGGGGAAGCTGGGCTGGAGCTGTCCCTCTGCCAGGACGCGCCTTTCTGACCCATTTCTCTTCTCTTCAGTGCAAGCTCTGGCCGAGGCCAACGCCATGAAACCCCACAGAGCCACGTTCTGAAGGCCTCCTCTGCCCCCGGAGGTCCCAGTTCCCCACCCTGGCCCCCTGCCCCTGCGCTCCCGTGGGGGTGCTGCAGGGAGCCAGGCTGGGGGGCCGGGGCTGCTGCCAAGATGTGACCTCAGTGTTCACATGCCCACCACGCCCGGCCACACGCCCACTACGCCCGGCCACACGCCCACCACCACCACATGGTGGCCTTAGGCCGGGGCCTGAGATGCTGGCAGACAGCACCTCCTGGCTGGCACCCGAGTCCTGGGGGGCTAGGCCCAGCCCTGGCTGGTGGTGTGACGGCCCTACTGGAACATTTCCTGAGGAAGAGGATGCCCTGGTGGGGAAGACGCTCTGGGCTCTCTAGGTGAGGACTAGTATGAGGAGAAGATGGACGCTTTTGCCTCTTCCGGCCCCTCCTGACACCGAGGACGGTATCTGCCATCTGGTCCTTCCCCGTCGCCCCACCCTGCTGCCCCTGCTGCACCCGGGACTCTGACATGTCTCTGCTGATGGGTGCTCCCTTGGGGTCCAGTGGAGACTGACCACGCTGCTTGAGCCAAAGACAAGATGACAAGAGCTGGGGAGAGGCTTCTTGGCTTCCAGAGGGCACAGTGCTGGCTATGGGTAGAGAGCGGCACGTAGGTCTGTGCAGCGTCTGCGGACAGGTTGAGAAGGGGGAGGAGAGAGGGAGAGATGGAGGCAAGCGGGAGGACAGGGAAGCGGCAGGACTTGTTTGCAAATAAGAGGGTGAGGCGAAGGTGGAAAGGGGGTGTGGAATGGATGGGTATCCCCAGGATGGAGCCTTAGCTTAGTGCCAAGTACAGAGCCAGACTGTCAGCCCTGCTCCTGCCCCTCGTCCCCCAGATCCACGGGCCTGTGCATCACTGGCCCCTGGAGGACCAACCGGCGAGAACGTGGTGACCTTCAGCTGCAGCCGTGGGGACAAAGGTGGAGGGATGTGGTGCGGGTGTGCGGGTAGGAAGATGGCCCTTTCTGGATCTGGGCCCAGTGTCTGCCTCCCCTTCCATAGCTCAGGGGCAGAGAGAAGGACCTCTGTCACGTAGGGTGTCATCAGCCTTGGGGTCTTTCCTAACCATGTTCAGGACGTTTTCTTGTCCCCCTTCCCCGGGAATGTGCTGGGGGCCAGCTAGGAGAGTGTCCCAGAAAGGAAATGCAGTCTTAATCTGGGGGGCTAGGTTCTAGGGCCCCACGCCGCGTCCCAGGCATTCCCAAGGAGGACCAGATGAGGCTATGTGGAAGGGCTCCCTTCTGGTCTGGCTGTCTCACCACCCGCCTACCCAGGGAGGCCAGCAGAGGAGACACAGAAGCAAAGCTCATGTTTTCCTCCTCGCCCCTCATATGGGAAGGATGGTAGCCAGGGAGGAGGGAGGGGAGAGAGTGATACTGGAAAAACCTGGGCTCCTGGGCATTCTCTTTGCCAGAGTTGCTGCCCGGAGACTTCAGCCTCCAGTGGCCCCAAGAACAATGACTTTATCTGCCACCACTGCTTCTCCACTCCTTCACAGCGAGGGGCCAGTGACTGGTTCATTTGCAAGTAAAGATGGCAACTCATTCAACAAATATTTATCAAGCACCTTTATGTACCAAGCACTGTTCTAGGTGCTTAGGATACTGTCGTGCTTCTGAGGGATTGCAGGCTGGGGAATTCCATTTCCCTTTTAGCAGATTTTTTGAACATGAACCTTGGCTATGTTTCCCATCTTTAGAACCGCTCAAGCACCCCACACCTGTTTTTTCTTCCCCCACAGACCAGCAGGTGGGATTGGAGCGCTCTCTCTTTCCAACACCTTTCTCCATCCACAAGAAATAGCCTTTCGGGGCCTCCATGCCTTTCCCTTTCTTTGTCCTTTTTTTTTTTTTAAGTGGTGTTTTTAGAAATACATGTAAAATACCAAGGATCAAGGTCTGCACCTTTGCCACCTTTCTCTCACCTCTTATTTCATAAAGCTGGGTCTTTATGTTGCTTTACATGCCTTAATATATGTTTTATGAAGATTATACATATTATAGATATATACATAATATATATATTTGTTTGGGCGTCTGATCCTTTCCCAGAACTCCTGCCCGGGTCCATTTTCCCTCCTTTACATCCCATACCACCCTAAGCCTGTGTCGGCCACACCCCATGCCTTTTGATCCAAAGAAGGGGAGAGGACGGGCTTATTTTAAGACAGATCTATTTTATGCTTTTGTTATAAAAGCAAATCTATTTTCAAAATGTGCAATGTCTGAATGGAATCAGCAAATGATACGAGGAGATTGGGCAGCTGCCTCTAGGTCCAACCCTGTGTCCGTCCCTCTCCTCCTTGCCGCCCACCCCTGCAGTTTCCTCCTCCCATCCCCTAGTCTGCAAAGGGCTGGTCCCCAGAGCTCACCCAGAGAGCATCTTACGAGGACAGGATACTCTCTTGGACGTCCTGGTCTAAGGATTTGATTACACTGTCAACTCTCAACGCCCCTCTAGGGTTACGGGATATGAATCCTCTCAAAGGAAATGTTTACAGCTGTGTGCACAAAAGTACACCCTTGCGGGCACACACCCCCCCACCCCAGTGTGCTCCAGGACCACCTCCCGTCACCAGTCTGCTGGAAAGGGCAGACAGAATGGCAGCCTATGCCAAACGGCACCAAGAATTTGACTCCTCGACGGAGCCAGGATACAGTGCGAATGCCAAAGGAGACGGCTTGGGCTCACAGGTCCTTCAGCACAGACACACGCGAGTTCCTTGGACTTCTCACACTCCTTGATCCTTTTCTGGTCTGGGTCACATCTGCGACATCTGTCTCCCTCTGTGACCTTTCCTCTTGGGGGCTGTTGCTAAGGGGGATGGTAGCTCCGTCTGGCATCCAGACTGCAGAGTCAGCTTCTGGGCTGAAGCCAGTCCCACGGACAAGGGGGCATCTCAGCCTTGCCCAAGAACCCCCCCAGGACTGTCCTCTGGTGGGTTGCCACTGGGGTGCTGAACTCTGCCAGCTCAGCCTTCCGAACTGCTTAGCGGCTGACAAAATAGGCAGGGGGCTCTTGCCTCGCAAGGATTTGGGCAGAATGGAAGTCTTTTGTCCAGATCTGGAATCAAGGGTTTGGGACTGTCACAGAGCTCCCGGGCAGCATCTGAAGCTTGACCTCCCAAGCCTGGCACCCTAGTGCCACCCTAGAGCATGTTGTTATGAAAGAACGGGGCCCAGATGGAGGCCCGGTGCAAAGGGACCCACGGGGGGAGGGCCCTGGTTGCTACTCTGGGGCCTTGCCAATTAGCACATTACCTCCCTGATCAATAACCAAGAGGCTGTAATCAAATACTGCTACTGTCACTTTAAAGCTTTTTCTGAGGTCGCAAACTGTGCACACTTGCTCTCCTGCCTTGGTGAGAGGCATGTTCTTGGGGCAGGCTGACTATAGCAAGACGGAATCGATTCCCTTCCCCTTTAGGCACCCCTTACCTGGCAGCTCTTAAAACTAAGGAAAATAAGAAATATACATATATATACATATATCTATTTATGCACATACTGGGGCCAATTTGATCTGCTAGTATTAGACAATAAACCATACAAGGAAATGTGTCTTTATTTAGTATAAAAGTGACCTTAGAAGAAAAGTTAAGGTTAGCCAAACAGAGGACGTCTCTGTTGGGGACCAAACATCTGTAGCGGCCCCATAGCATCTTTCTAGCCAACGAGCCCCTCCCCGGGGAGGGGCATCCTGACTGACAAGTGAGCGCCTGTGTCCCCCTCCCCAGCATTCTTTTTAGATATAGGTACTAAAGAATCCCAGTGAGCTCTGCATTTGTATCTTGCAAGTTTGTATAAACCCAATACAGGAAATAAAATGGTTTGTACAAGCGGCGTGTGTCTCACACTCTGTCCGTGACTGCCTGTGGCTATGGCTGGACTTGTGGCTCGTGGCAGTTTCCAAGCTTGGCAGAAAAGGGGAGAAGGTCTGCGGTCGGGCTTCCCCTGACTGAAAGCCAAAGCTGGGTCCGCGGTATGCTGCCCGCCATGGTCAGCTCCTCTGTCCAGGTAATCCCAAATCAAGGCTTGTTCCAAAGTCCTGTGTAATGAAAATTATCAGAACAGTGCTCAGATCCTGGGAACCCATCGATTTGTCTCTGAGACAGAGGGCAGAAATGTAGGAGAATAAATTTATTAGGCTTTCTTGATGACCACACCGTGGCCTATATTTCTGCTTTGGGGTACAAAAAGGTATATGATTTGGCAAGGGGCATCAGAAAGGCTGCCCAAATTGTTCTTTTTTTATTTTATTTTATTTATTCATTTGACAGATCATAAGAAGGCAGAGAGGTAGGCAGAGAGAGAGAGAGAGAGGAAAGCAGGCTCCCCACTGAGCAGAGAGCCCGATGTGGGGCTCGATCCCATGACCCGGAGATGATAACCTGAGCGGAAGGCAGAGGCTTAACCCACTGAGCCACCCAGGTGCCGCAGGAAAGCAAGGCTCTTCTAATTCCCGATTTTACTTCGGTCTGGTTCTAAGGGCTGATTTCGAATTCTGGACACCTGTTGTCATTCCTAAAGAGCTAATGGAGTGTGTGAGTGTGAATGGGTGTAAATGTGTGTGTGTGTGTGTTCAACACATTATATGACTATATTTGGGGTTTTGTGACCTCCCCAGGCAAGCTATAAACCCTGATGTCCTTTGTGAATCAGACAGAATGGGGACTGATGCAGACTCACGACAGAGGCCTCTCTGGGGCTGGAGGAGGGACACGGGACCCCTCGTGGCTTTCAGGGCCTGCGTCTCTATCTGCAGCGCCCTCAGGGCGGGAGCCGGCGGCTTGGCGAGGCGGGGTGTGAGCACCAGGCACCGCTGGGTGTCGCTGTCCGCACAAACAAGGGCCGGCTCCTCTTCACTAACAATGCCCGAGATCTCGGCCTGCTCCCGCTCCTGACCCAGATCAACGCTCTGATCAAGGCGGGCTGGGGTTGTAAAAGGGGGCAGTAGTCAGGAAATGTCGATGCCAAAGCACCTAGCAGAATGCCCTGAAAGGAGCCGCGCTCTGTAACAGTGTGGTCCTGTTTTGTTTTGGGGGAGGTGCACGACCCCGGGTTCAGGCAGACAACCAGGCTTCAGATCCTGCTGCCGCCAGAGACCTGGGCCCACACCACATCCCCCCATCCCTGA